TCTAGTAATAATAATAATAATAATAATAATAATAATAATAATAATAATAATAATAATAATAATAATAATAATAATAATAATAATAATAATAATAATAATAATAATAATAATAATAATAATAATAATAATAATAATAATAATAATAATAATAATAATAATAATAATAATAATAATAATAATAATAATAATAATAATAATAATAATAATAATAATAATAATAATAATAATAATAATAATAATAATAATAATAATAATAATAATAATAATAATAATAATAATAATAATAATAATAATAATAATAATAATAATAATAATAATAATAATAATAATAATGGTAATTCGTTAATAGATAGTTTTTTCTATAATTTGTCCCCTTTTATTAGCTTTCTCTGTAATTCGCCCGCCGTTAAGAGTTTTAGTAATTCGGCCCTTAATATTGGGTCCGGATTTAGGTCCCGTTTCCGTCGCTCTTGAAATAATAACGGTATTACTAAGTCTGAAATTCAAAGTTTTATTAATTTCCTAAAGTAGTAAACTTTCCTATAATAATTCCCTTGACGGGAATATTCGTTATTAATTATGCTTATTTTATACTTGCTATATTTATAGTATTACCCTCGGTTTAAGAAACCTTTTTTTTTGGTCATTTTAATAATTATAATTATTTTTATCCTTTAGTACTAGTTAGTAAAAAGATGAAGCTTGTTAATATTTTGAAGGCTTCTTAGATTAACGATACTAGTTAAGATAGTATGAAGAGGATTATAATAGATTTTAGCGTATTTAAAGACTTTATAAAATTTGCTACTATAGCCTCTATAGCTTAAGCTTTTTGCCCCCTTTCTTTGGTTTTTTTCCCTTTTATTTTATTACCCCTAATAATCCTATCTTTATATTTCTTAACGGTTTTGGTATTTTTAGTTTGCTTCTTATTTGTTAGCCCTGACGGTTTGTTATAGCTCTTATTAGTTCCCTAGTATTCCTTACTATTTATTTACGAAACGAATTATTATTAGATACTTTTATAGCTTTGATACCTTTAGTTTGCCCGCTTTCTATTCTTTCTTTATTTCTTTTTAGCCGTTAGTATTAGTTTGATAGCTCCCTAGTATTTAGTTGTAGCCTTGCTAGCCGTTAGATCTTTATTTAAATAATTAGAGCTTTTTTTTGTTTATTTTACGGACTTACCCCTTTTTTTTTCCTCTTTCTTTCCTTCGGCCAATTATAATAAATTTTGGTATAGATTGGCCTTCTTAAGCCGCCTTCTAGTTTTTCGGAATTTCACAGACTTCTACGGACTTTGTATATTTTCGTTTTATTAATCCGATATATCCCGTACTGACCCGGAGTATCCCGAAGACTATAAAGCCCAATTGTTTTGGATAGATTTGTTGGAGGAGACTTAGATAATATTGGAGGAAACTTGGTATTTGTCGGAGGAGATTTGGATCTTTTCGGAGGAGATTTAAACGGATAGGTCTATTGAGGATAATAGTTCCTTTTCTTGTGAGCCGGCATTTAATACCGGAAATCCTCTAGCACCGTGTAGAATAGTCTAGCCTAGTTATGAAGGCTTTGGTTGCCTTTCTAGGCTACAAAGGTTCTTCGAACCTTTGTTGCCAGCTTAGTATATAATTGGGTATAGCTCTAGCTTCTAAACCTTCCTCTTCTTCTTACGAATTATCACTTATTTTACTGCCTTACTGACCACATTATTGGATCGTGAGGCCTTCGATACTTATTCCGTATTACGAGGATACTTAAATATATAATTTCCTAGGTTTATTATTAAAATTCAATTAAACTCTTTAAAAAGGAAAAACTAATTACAATTCTCTAAAACCCTAATTAGAGAGTTCGAATTTCTTTATTAATAAAATATCCTTTAATTTCGTTTTTAATAAGGGTTACTCTACTCTTCTTAATATATTACCGCCCGTATCCTTTTTTATAGGTTTTTATTTTAATAAACGTACTAAAGATGAAGTTTATTACGGCTTCGAACTATAGAAGGCTATATTTAACGTAAGAAGATTTTATTAACTTATAGCTAAATGCTATAATAAAGTAATTATAAAAGTAGAATTAGAGCGCTTCTCCCAGAAAAATAAAACTATTACCTAGAAGGAGTTCGATTCCTTTATTTCTATAGATAAACTCTAAACTATTTACTGTTAAAAATTACCGCCGCCGCTAAAGAACTACAAATTTCTTAATTACTATTTTTTAAAGACTTCTTTAAAGAAGTAGAGTAAATTTATTTTAATAGCTATAAAGAAATGAAATTCTAAATAGAAGTCAATCAAGATAAACTAAGGATTAAAAGGAAATGATTATTCGACTATATATAAGTATATATATATAAATTCTTTAAAAATAGTAAATTTAATAAGGTTAAAGTACGTTTCGTTATATAAAAAAATTAATAAAAAAAGGAAGTAGGGCAAAAAACGTATATTTCTATATTCGCCAGCCGATTTTTCCGCACCCTTATTATTATAATTATACGCTTTAATTTCGAATTTATTTAATATAACGCCGTTAATACTTTCGTTAACGTTTATATAAATAAAGAAATTTATATATATATACCCATAGGATATTAAATATTAAATAAAGTACTTAAAATTATAAAGGCGCTATATAAATTATAGCATTCCCCGCTTTTCTAGTAATGCGAATTTATTAACGCATTTACTACTCTAAATTTCAAAGCGGTCCTAAAAAAACCCTACATTTTTATTAATAACAGCGTATTCGTTTTTTATTATATTAATAATATTATTTTTACCTTCTACCGTAATAAAAGCGAGGAAGTTTATAAGTATATAAATAGTTTTAAATAGCGATACTATTTTATGAGAAGTAAAGAATTATTATAATTCTTAAGTATTGAAATTATATAAAATTATAAAGTACGAAAGATTTAATTATTTTAATAGTTATATTTATAAAAGATATACCGCTTTATAAATAATGAAAAAATAATATAATTACCTATAATTAATATTAAACTCGTACTCTTTAAAGATAAAGTATTTAGAAAGTTAATATATTAATATTAAATTAAAATCGGCTCTATTCTCTATATAATAATTATAATATAACCAGATATTACTTTTGCCATAAGCCGCCTCGTTAAGTATAATTATAACCCCAATTTAAATTATTGTAAGGTTGCAAATAAAATATTATATTATTTATACATTACTATAAATATAGCGCTATATTATAAAGGCGAAAATACTTTACAAACTACATTAGATATATCTTTTATAAATAATTTTATAAATTGAAAGAGTTTATACGGTTTTATAATTAAATTCTTTAACGGTTTAATATATTAGGGAACTATAAATAAATAATCATAACTATATTAACGATTGAAATAGAATTTATTACCCTTTTAAACGTAATAAAAGAAATTATTTTTATAATACATTAATACGAAGTTTAACTATGAAATTCGTAAATCCTATCTTTACTATCGATTATAATAATAAGTAAACAATTAGGGTAATAACGGTCGAAACTTTTAAATTAGTAATTAAATTGAAGTATATAAATATTTATAAGTATTAGTTTAAATAAGAAGTTATAGTTAGAACTATTAAAATTAAGTATTTAAAGATAGTAAAAATGCTTATAGATAGTTTAACGAAGGTACTATCTACGTAGAAGTATATAGAATTCAAGGGATTACTAGGAATAGCTTCAATTAAGGAGAAGAAGGAAAAAAAGGAATATATAATAAATTATATTAAACTAAAAGACATAGAGGAAATAATTAGAAATAGGAAGGCGATATATAAATAGCTTTAGCTTTAATCCCAAAAGAGATTTCAATTAGGGAAGTACATCAATTTAGTAGGCTATATTTAGCTAATAAGACGAGGGTTCTATAAGAGGACTAGTCTCCCAGCCACCCCAATAGCGCTATAGACCTTCCTAATACTCTGGGATCCCCCAACCTATATGTACAGTCTTTCTACTCCACACACTCGATCAATACAGCGATTAACCCATATTCTCTACATTCACATAACCGTGCAATCTAACAATTTCCATGCCCTGAGATGCAGAGCAACAGGGGTTCCGGTTTGGTTTCGGCAATGTAATTCCATGTAATTACGTGCATGGGGCATCGTCGTTGTGGTCGTCGAGGTTCCTATTTGCATCCACTCAAACATCTCGATTCAGCTCATCCACCACTGGAGCCAGTCTCAGGGATCAGGGCAGGTTGGCAATGATGGGTTCCTGTACTGTTCCTGAAGAGCCCGAGTACCTCTACGCTACATTACGAACATGACGGCACTGACCAGACATGATCTGTACACTACCTGAGGTGGTTAGGCTGTTATTGTCAAAGACATCTCAACCAACTAGAAGGAGATCCGCGAGGCCGTTTTCTTGAGCTACATCATCAGACACAGGGCTGTTGCTGGGTAGAGAGCCCATGGTTCAGGAGACTCTCTCTACATGTTCACCGCAGTGGATCATCCTATTCCCCTGAAGATCCAGTCATGGCTTCCAAGTCTGCGGCATAGTCGGTGATGAGTTGTTAGGTAGTCGAACGCCCAAATTTGTTCACAGGTCGATTTCTCAATGACAATGACTTCAGGTATGGAATCGTATCATGACAATAGTAGGTTCGGGTTTCAGGTCAACGCTTCATGGCCATGATTTTGATCAACACAAAATCTATTGAACGTAAAGATGCTTGCCAAACGTTGGGACATTGAGCCCGTCCGTCAGGTTTTGATACCATAACAATCCATCCATCAATCCATTTCCAAAAACGCCAAGGCCATGACTTACAGTCCGTAAAAGGCAACAACTCTGCCCAGTACAGTTGCACCTGGGTATCATTTCCAACACACACTCTCTCTGTCTCTCTTTCTCTCTGGCACCATCGCATCTTAGATGCCGCTGTGTAGACTCGAATGATTAATTTCTTATCTTCGCTCGTCCCAGGTGTCGCAAAACAATCAACTGGCCGCTTAGTTCGTGTTGACGACCTTGTCCTCCTCGATAGTGCCGTAGTTCTCGCTGGAGGCGGAAACCGACTCGAGAGTCTTTTCGCCAACCTTGGCAGAGAAGCCCCTGGATAAAAGTGTTAGTAAGAACATGCGAACCAAGACAGTGTCCGAAAACATACTTCATGAGGGTGTACTCGTGGGTAATGACACCGCCGGCATCGACAATCCTCTGCTTGTCCTGCTTGATGACCGAGTCGGGAGTGTTCTCCTTGTAGGTGATGATGACCGACTTTTGGATGTCAACGGCAATGGCGCCGGAGACGAGGGCAAGGGCGCCGAGAACGAAACCGAAGAACTTCATTTTGCGATAGATTTTGGTTATTGGGACGGGTATAAAGTATGGCGTCACGTTGTTGGGCAGACAGACGATGAATGGGCGGATGGTTTCCCTTGAATTAAATGTCGGGAGGACCCCTCGACTTTAAAGATAAAGGTGCCATGTCACGCGCCAAGGAGCCTCCCAGCGCATAAAGAGACCCCCCCTTTCTGCGGTCTCAGCTTTTCCTCAGGGGGAAGGTCGCTATAAAAGCCCCTGCAAGTTCAGGCGGAAGGGACGTACACAGTACTTCCGTTCACGGCCGTACCTGCTACTGATTAGATAAGGCCTGTTTGTTATGTCACCACGGCAGTGGCACAGGGCAGAAGGCTGAGGCCCCACCGCTCACGAAACTCAAGTTCAAGGTACTAGGCGCTAACCTCATTGGGTACTCACCTTTCCAGCAAGTGAGGCAGCTAGCCAGTGACGACGGCGAGACCAGACCACTGCAACTACAGCAGTTGAGCTTCGAGGCCACTGACAACTGACGACTGACGATATACACATCGACATTCAAAACATCATACCCACCAGCCTTCCTTCTTTACCCCACGAAATACCACCCGACCTCCCGTCACGCCCAACCGAACACACATCCATCACGACCCCTCCGACGACACCTCGAATCCAGCTCTCGCCATGCCCGCCACTACTGCGGAAACGCTCTCCCTGGTGAACCGCAGCGTCTCGGTTGCGCCGCTCGTCCTGCTCTCAGTCGTCGACCACTACAACCGTACCCAAGCCAACAAGTCCAAGAGCAAGCGCGTCGTCGGCGTGCTATTAGGCCAGAATGACGGAAAGAATGTTCGCGTGTCCAACAGTTTCGCGGGTGCGTAACCTCTGTCCCGAAAGCTTGCCTGGCTGCCCCGCGCCTAGGTGATGGCTGGCTGGTTTCTAACTTGGCGATACAGTTCCCTTCGAGGAGGACGATAAGGACCCCTCAGTCTGGTTCCTTGACCACAACTACGTCGAGTCCATGAACGACATGTTCAAGAAGGTCAATGCGCGCGAGAAGCTAATAGGCTGGTACCATTCCGGCCCCAAGCTACGGGCTTCCGATCTCGACATCAACGAACTGTTCAAGCGCTACACTCCCAACCCGCTTCTCGTTATTGTCGATGTTCAGCCCAAGGAGACGGGCGTTCCTACAGATGCCTACTTTGCCGTGGACGAGATCAAGGATGTATGTCTTCCAAGAGACGCTGTCGCGCTTCCACTTGCTCCCATTCAGCAAGTATAGATGCTAACTGCATTTGACTACCACAGGACGGCACCACCACATCCAAGACCTTTGTCCATACTCCCTCCATTATCGAGGCCGAAGAGGCCGAGGAAATCGGCGTCGAGCACCTTCTTCGCGACATCCGTGACGTAGCCGTCGGCACACTATCCACCCGCATCACCAACCAGATGCGCTCCCTGCAAGGCCTCCACCACCGCCTCCGCGACATCCAAGCATATCTCCAAAAGGTCCTTGACGGCCAGCTGCCCGTAAACCACGCCATCCTCGGGAACCTCCAGGACGTCTTCAACTTGCTCCCCAACCTCTCGACGCCCAAGTCCGGCCCAGGCGCTACTGGCACCAACGCCGACAGCGAGCTCAGCCATGCCATGAGCATCAAGACCAACGACCAGCTCATGGCCATCTACCTCAGCAGTCTGATCCGCGCCATCACTGCGTTCCACGACCTGATCGAGAACAAGATCCAGAACAGGCAGCAGCAGGAGGAGAACGACGCCAAGAAGAAGGAAGGAGGAGAGAACGGCGAGAAGAAGGAGGGCGGCGACAAGAAGGAGGGTAGCCCGGCGGCGGCAAATGGTGAAAGCATGGAGAAGGAGAGCAGCCCGAAAGATAAGAAGAAATAAGCGAGACATGATGAAGTGAAAGAGGGAACAGGAATGCGAGCGACGGGACGACGGGGCGCAACGGACCGGGCCGTAGATGATACGAAATCAATCAAATCAGCATGAATCATGTTTGTGTACGAAACCAAACCACAAGAGAGACACTTTCACATAGAAAGAGGGTTGCTCAAGGTCGAGAATGGGATCTTGGGCAAGTTGTTAATAATACTAGTTAACTGACAAGTTTGTGTACTGTGGTGGTAGCGGTTTGCCGGATCATAGAAACGGCATATGAACTCTCTTTTCTAACACTCCCACCAAGTTCCTAAACTTGGACATCAGCAACAATCCCAGCCATCTCCTCTTTACTGAACGCATATAACGGACCCCTCTACTCTCTCATTTAATACTTCAGGATAACATCCCTCCAACAAGTGGGAATACGCTTTAGACATCCGCAACAATCCCAGCCATCTCCTCTCTACTCATCATCCGCTCCGTCACATACCTCCCCAACGCTCTCCTCCACTTATCAGCCAACAGACAGGCAAGCAGGTGTTTACAAACCGGCGGTACGCTCGAGTGATCGTCCGGGTTGAAGAGGGTCATCCCGCCAAAGGTCCAGCCTGCGCTTCCCTGTTTATCTCTGACCCTTTCTTTTTCTCTTTCTCGTAGCTCTTCACTTCCCTGCTCTTCTCCATCTTCATCTCCATCTCCTCCTGCTTCTCCTACTTCTGGTTCTTCGGAGACACAAGCAAACGCAAACGCAGCGCAGGTACAGTTCCATGCTTCCAGGCTGACTATGTACCGCTGTATTCGGTGGTCTCGATCTCGGTCCGTTTCGCTACCACCGGGTTGGACACCTTCGGTATCTGCTGCGTCTCCAAGTCCAACAAGGTTGCTGCTGGGTTTCTTTCGTTTCCGTCTTGGGTGGGTGTTGAGGAACTGGGAGGAGCGGACTAGGTAGAACTCTGGTGGTGGTCGTCGTCGTCGTTCTCCTTTAAGTCCCTGTTGTGACTCGCTGGGCTTCTTTCCCTTTTCTTCATTCTTCTTATCCCCGTCCCCGTCCCCGTCCTCATCTCTGCCCTGGTTCTCATCTCTATAATCCTCTCCGTCGTCCTCCTCTCCCATAATCACATCCACATCCACATCCACATCCCCATCTACCTCTTTCTTCTGCTCCTTCTGCTCCTTTCGCTCCTTCTGCCCCCCTTCCTTCTTCACTACCGCCGCCTCCCCAGCAGCACACCTCAAAACAACCCGTTCAACCAACCCCCGTTCCAAAACCTCCAAACCAGATAACACCACCCCCGGAAAGAGAACATGCAGCGTGATGATCAAATGTCGGTATTCAGGTGGTACCAGTTTTAGGGGGTTTGGATTCCCCTTCCAACCTCCTCCTCCTTCTCCTCCTCCCGGTCCATCCTTTTTTCTCGTCGCGATATGTCCCTTCGCTTCATCACCTTCTTCTTTCAGAATCTGGAGGAGTTGTTTCCTCTTTTTTTGGGTGATTATTTCTGCTGCTCCTTCTTCTGCTTCTGTTGCCTCTGTTGTTCCTGATATTGATGGTGGGTCTCGTTGTTGCGTTTTGGTTGGTGCCGGTGCCGGTGCTGGTGCTGCCGGTGGTTCGTTAAGGAGAGGAATGTTGGAGATGGCGGTTATTAGGGAGGTGAGGAATTGGCGGGAGGTGGGGAGGTGGAGGGTTGAGCTTTGTGGTGAGTGTGAGTGTGACGGTGATGAATTTTGCGGTGGTTGAGGTTGATAGGACGGTTGAGGCTGGTGTGAAGCAGGTGGGTGTAAGTGGAAGGCGGGATCAGGGTCGGGATGCCCGTCCGGGTGGTGTGGGTTCGGTGAGGCCATCGCGATGTTTAATTGCTTTCAGGGAGTGATTAACTGAGTGTCTCTGGAGTATATCCTGTGATGGTGTTTTTGGTGATTGTTAGGGCTCGGGTATCGTCTTGAACGTGGTTTTAGTTGATGGTTGTTGCATGGTGTAGGTTGTTGGGTGGAAGCAGTGACGCGGTTGAGAAATTGTCACAAGTTCATTTCTGCATACTCTACTCAACAGTGCGGCAACCATCACTCGAATTAAACACAACCAGACTTGACAGATCATCGATGGTATTTTGTCTATACATCCGTTTTCTTCATCTCATATAACCCATATTTATCATGCAAGTCATAAATATACATACAAAGAACCTTCAGAAGAACAAAATAAAAGTATAAACCCTCATCATCATACCCACTCCTTGGGGTTCTTGAGCACCTCAACCAACCTCGCCTCCCTGCTCTTCGGCTGCGGCTCATACATATACTCCCACCTAGCCGTCAGAGGCAAGCTCATGAGGATACTCTCCACGCGCGCACCAGGAGTATTCAAGCCAAACGCGGTGCCGCGGTCGTGCACTAGGTTGAACTCGACATACCTGCCCCTGCGAATTTGCTGCCACTCCTTCTCCTTCTCCGTGAACGACATGTCCTTTCGCTTGTTGATGATGGAGATGTAGTTGGGCGCAAACGACTTGAGCGCGTCCTGGACGAAAGCGAAGGTGTTCTCCTTGTCCGAGACGGTCTCGTCCAAGTCGTCGAAGAAGATGCCGCCGATACCGCGGGACTCGCCGCGGTGCTTGTTGTAGAAGTACTCGTCACACCACTTCTTGAAGCGGGGGTAGTACTCCTTGTCGTGCGCGTCGCACACCTCCTTCAGCGACTTGTGGAATTGGATGGCGTCCTCGTCAAAGAGGTAGCTGGGCGTCAAGTCGCTTCCTCCACCGAACCACCACGCGCCCGAGGAGCCGTCGGGGTTGGCCGTCTCGAAGTATCGGTAGTTGAGGTGGACCGTCGGGGCCATGGGGTTCTTGGGGTGGACGATCAGGCTGAGGCCGGCGGCAAAGAACTCGAGGCTGTCGGGAATGTTGTCGTCCTGGGCCAGGTTCTTGTGGTTCGCGCGCATCTTGATGATGGCGGGCTTGGGAAGAGTGCCGTAGACGACGCTCACACCGACACCGGCCTTCTCAAACACCTTGCCGTCCTGGAGGACGCATGTGATGCCGCCGCCACCCTCCTTGCGCTGCCACTCGTCCACCCGGAATGGTGTGCCGTCGGCCTCCTCTAGCGCTCTGACAATCTCCTTCTGTTGCTCCTTGACGAACTTCTCCATGCGCAGGCGCATTGGCGAGGCATCGGTCACGCCCTTCTCGCGCTTAGTCTGTTGGTCGCGCTCGGCGAGGGTAGGGGTATCGCATCGGATGGGATCTTCGACGGCCTGGATTCAGAGCACATAGTGAGCTTAGAGTTCGTAGTAGGCAAGAGGTCAATGGGAATTCGCAGCGGGCGCATACCATCTTGTAGCTAAGGGTAGTGGCAACAGCCAAGCCAGCGGCAGCCAAGGTGAGGTAGTTGCGCGAGTTCGAGAAAGCTTGACGTGCTGATCCGGAGCTCTGAAAGCTTGATGCAGCTCGGCGAGGGGTCCAGGTGTTATTGAACTGGCGCTTTGTCTTGCACTGAGCAAACAGGCGAAGGGTAGGCCGACGCGAGGCCATCTTGACGGTCCTTATTTATACGGTTCAGGACGTGGTGGCGTAGTGGTGGGTGGTGAGCAGGTTGAGGTCCCGGTATCGAACGATTTCACTCTGCAGACATGAGACCACCACCCCAGATCTAGGTACGGAGGGCCGGGAAAGACCGCGCGGTTTACAAAGCGAATTGGCGAATTGTCGATTTGTTTTGACAGGGTCGATCGTCGGCTGATGTGGTGTCCAGAATCGGATGTTGTCGAAATCGAGAACTCGGGCTCGGCGGGTAGTCTAGTCTTCGCTGGGTATTCGCCCGGCGCGACTGCTGCCCTCGGCTGGTGGGGAGGAGGGATCCGCTTGTGGTGCCCCGGGCCCCCGAAGCCGAACTCGCTTTCACTGGCTGGATCAACTATCAACTACCTAATGGAAAATGACGCTATACCCGGAACAGGATGATAGACAGCTCCCGGCCTCCGTTCCTTGCATTCAACGGCTCCAGTGGATGGACGGGGAACCGGACCCTGAGGAGTGTAGTGGTGGCCCGCCCGGGGAGTGGAATGTCCACAAAGGTGCTGCACGCACTCCGGGAGCAAACGGAGAAGGCGGACACCGAACGGTACGGTATGTTGTAAAAACGCGGGCCCGGGTCCCATGGCGGGGCAACCGGTCACCTCCGATCGGACTTGTCGGGAGGAGCTCCAGGATGAAGCTCAAGCTCCATCGTAGACTATCACGGATAAGATAGACACCGGATAAGATACGTGCAAACAGGCGGAGAGAATGACGACTTCACAGTGACATCCATGACCTGGTCCTCCCTAGGTCTTTAATAGACGGGGAACAAAGCGGTCAACAAGTGCAAGTGTTCGAGACACTGGCCAAGCCGATCGAGCCGTCCACGCCGTCTTAGTAAAATGCGGTCTACACTCTATAGTCCAAAGGAGCATGGCCACGAGGCCGCTTCTCAGAAAACAATGCGCCCTTCTTCCATCCTTCTGTCTTCCACATGTACTACCGAAAGGTACATAGCTACAAGTACAATGAGAGATAGGAGACGGGACGGAGAAGGAGTGCTGCGTCATTGCTACCACGCCGCCCCACCGTTGGCCAAGAGGTACCGTTCAGGTACCGCTCCTAGCTGAGTGCCGGGCACGCCTTCGCCTTGAGATGCCCCTGGAATGCCACTGAACAGGCAGTGACCTGTTAAGCTTGACCATGTGAGCGACGGCCAGTGACCCATCTGATTCACCGACTTGGGGACGGGCTAAGCCCAATCGAGGATCGACCCTCGCTTTAGTCATCTGGTCAGCCCCGCCTCCGCCTGCTGGTCACCCGCTGCTGTTTGTCCAGGGCCTTTGACCAGTGCTGCGCAGACAGGCGGGCAGGCGCCAACTGGACGCGGCCGATAGGCAACACTGGCCTGGTAACTAACACACCTTACAGAACTCCTGCTTTGGTCAAAGAGGTACATCAACCCTTCTCCCCCCTCTTCATCCTTTTACCGTTTCTTACCTCTGACATCTCCCCAGCTTCCCTCATTTCATCACACGCCAGTCATCAAGGTATGTCCTGCATTTCCGTCCAACTCCGATTCTGCCCATCCCCATCTGGAAGCCATCTATGACCTTCCTCCCTTTCAATATCCTCTTCTCCGACTAACACTGGATTTCCTCTATCGCAGAACACCGTCTTATCCGGGCATCCATCTCTTGAAAATACCCAAGTCAAACACCTATCAGCACACCTTCTACATCATCAAACCAACCCGCCAAAATGAGATCCAAGTTTAAGGACGAGCACCCCTTCGAGAAGCGCAAGGCTGAGGCTGAGCGTATTCGCCAGAAGTACTCCGACCGCATTCCCGTAAGCAACCCCCAATCTCGACCTCCCAGTCACCGTCCTTATCACTAACACATATCGCCACAGGTTATCTGCGAAAAGGTCGAGAAGAGTGATATCGCTACCATCGATAAGAAGAAGTACCTCGTACCGGCGGACCTCACCGTGGGCCAGTTCGTTTACGTCATCCGCAAGCGCATCAAGCTGTCCCCCGAGAAGGCCATCTTCATCTTCGTAGATGAGGTCCTTCCTCCAACCGCTGCTCTCATGAGCAGCATCTACGAGGAGCACAAGGACGAGGATGGGTATGTGCTCGCTTCCGTCCCCTTTCATTTCAACAGGAACCCAGACTAACTTTGATGACTAATACAGTTTCCTTTACATCACGTACTCGGGCGAGAACACCTTCGGCGACTTCGAGACTGCGTAATCATATCCTCTCTACCGTTTTGCTTTAGACGTTGTCGGCGTTTTGGGGGGATTCATACACGATTACTGGATCAATGAACGGGTTGGTGGGCTGTGCATCATGTTGTTTCTGCTGGGTTTATATCCTTAGGTTCCGTTGGCTGAGGAGGGAGAGGGCTTGCTATGACAGAAGGGACGATGGGGCTGTGCTGTTGGGGTCTGGACTTGAGTGCCGCCTGCAGCCGTATGAAAGCGAAAGCCCCCTTTCTTTGCTTCCCGGTGTGCTTTGGTCTAGAGAGAGCATAATTTGCCGTTGGGTTGCCCGTTTCACAAATCAATGTTTACCTCATTCTCTATGCCCTTTTTCACCACGCCGGTGACTTACACCCCTTGTTGAGCCCCTCCAAACATAAACCCTGGATGCACGCCCGCAATGGATGGATGACACGAGGACGGCAGTTCTACACGTGGATCTCATGAGGAGGAAGGGAGGAAGCACGCAGCTTAGAAATATACGATAGGTAGTACACGTGTCCTAGCTGGATATCGTTACACTGGTTCCCATGATTAATGCTCTGTGTATAATGGTGCTTGGTCATGTCTGGTGGGTAGTGTAATCGCGGAGGACTCCCGCAACAGTCATACCGCATAAACTCACCAAGCTCGTATATCCGTTCGGCCAGCTTTATGCCAACTTCATTCATAACAGGGCCTGCCTTGCTAATACAAGAAAGCTGTGCATACTGCCTGGCCCTGCATCGGTCTCTCAAAGGAACCCAAACCCTAAAGCACTCAAAAGATGCATTATACCATCTCTTACTAAGAGCACAGAACGAATGACTAACACCTTTCCATCAAATTCCTCTGCCATCCTTAAATCTTGAACTTGACATTACTGTTCGAAACCATCACGGCAAATAGTTGAATCGTCTCCCACTAAGATGCTTATCCTCAAAGGCAGCATGTATCTGGTCTTTGAGTGACAAAACAATGCACAGTGACTGCTGCATATTGAAAGACAAAGGGCTACATATGCGTGCGGGTGAGTGAGGATCAATCAGGTAAGTGAGGAAAGTTGAAAGAAGAACAATGGATAGGTAGTTCACGATCAAGAATACACATACTACAGGAGGATGGGTTAGGTTAGGTGTATGTATGGTGACTGTATTGAATGTTTGTTGTCTCAAATTTGCAAGATCCCGTCTCGCTGGTAGGCAGGCCACTGTATGAAGGCACCAAAAAAAAAAAAAAAAACCCCCCAAAAGAAAAGAAGAGAAAAAAAAAAAGAGAAATAAAAAGGAAACAGATGAATGAGGGTTACCTATGAATTACATACATGAGTTGTGGGGGAGACAAGAAGAGTCAGATACATAGATTATATCTTCGTCGTGAACGAAATAGAACAGAACAGAACAGAAACAGCCACGTTTAGATCGGACGGACTTGGGCTTTACACAAGTTGAAAAGAAGAAGAAAAAGAAGAAGAAGAAGAAGAAGGCTGAATGACAAAGGAGTATGCCATCCGGATGAGTTACCTTTAGCTACCTAGGTACCTACCTTCATCATGTCATTCCCACACAGTGAGTGTTATTCACATCGTTCGTTGCTCACGGTTTCAATCAATCCTAAAAGGTTCAAACTATGCAGTTGCTGTATGATATTCGGTGATATAATCAAAACAGGCGGAATAGGAGTAATCGGGCATCTGGGGGAGGGGAAATCATAATTAGGATATATGTAACACCATATCAAGAACCTTCTTCTCCAGAATCACGATACATAGTTGGCAGGAAGGAATCCAAGTGAATTTTTTGTCAGTATTCTGCGGGCCAGAATGAACGTGTTGACGTAGATGTTAGATGGATGGAAGAAACAGAAGCAAGCACCAGCAACATGAACACATGACAACGCAATATGATGCTCAAGTCTCTCATAACTACCAAAAGTTTTGATACAAAATCCCTCCCCGAATCCCTCTCTCTATCCAACTCCTTGCCCTCTTATCCTTCAGTTCTTTTGTGTTTTCTTTCCTTTCAGTTATCCGTTCCTCTTCTCCATCTCGTTCTCAACGGAAGCCACGCGCGCAACACAGTAGAGGTAAGTATCAGAAGAATCGATCCGAGAAAGTATGTGGTAATACGCTATGTTTTGCGTCTGTCGCTTCTCTTTCAGAACACCATTTTTGCAATGTCTTTCCTTCCCAATAGTCGGCGGCTCTCGTAAGACTCCAAATCATTAACATTAAACAGAAAACGACGACGACCATAGACCAGAAGATCCGGAGCGGGAGCGGGAGCAGGGGGGCAATCACAGGGGCAAGATAGGGCCAAGTCAACCTGGCTGACACCAGAGACTGATCCCATACCTCAGACTTATGAATGTCATCCCCAAGCTCGTGAGATGAACGAGGAATGACCCGACCCCTCACTCCTTCCCTACTCGCGTGTCGTTTTCTTTCTTTTCCCTCAGTCCCCTTTGCCTAAACCAAAAATAACAGAGAGACTCCTTTCCTGCACTATATATCAACCCGGCAAAAGGGAAACGGAAAAACGGTAGTAGTAGGAATGCGCTGGTTTCTCAAACTTTGGAACCAAAGACCAAATAAAGAGGAAAAATGGAAACGCGATGTACAAAAAAAGCACGCCTTCCTTCCTTCGCCTTGCAGAACGCCTACCAGAACGCGTCAAAAACGCCTGCCTCGAGTGCAATATTATCATGAACTCGAGCCAAGTAAATTCCGGCACCCGCTTCAGCTGACCCCTCCCTCAAATCGATCCTATCCGCTCTGCTCCTCCGTTCCATCCATCTTATTTCCCATATCTTGCCGCCTCTTCCTGATCGATTCTTCTTCCCACATCTTGGTGTCTCTGTTATCCTAACCTCCTCTTCCTCCGTCAACGGCTCCGCTCCCTCTTTTGATAGCCTTATCTGGCTCCCCCGCCGTCTCCTCCCATATGCGCTTTGAACTATCGTCTTCCCATGTGAACCAGAAAATGGGGTATATGCAAATGGTCCGATTCCAGAATGAATGCTTTCCCCGGCCCAAATACAGAGTTTAGCCGGATGCAGTCATGTAAAATCCCATGCGTGTGTGAACAGAAAGAAAAAGAAGGAAAAATCGAGCCCAAGACTTCCCAGCTGTGGATGTCTAAGAAGTCGAGAGGTCTGAACGAGCTCATATCAAAAAGACTAAGCATGACGCCAAGACACCAACCGTAAAGAGTTTCTGTTATTTGTTTATGAAAGGCGATTAAGACGGCGTCCAAAGCTCGAGAAACGAACGCCTCGGCTTCTATCCTTGGTTGTTCTTCATGCGTTTTTGCATCCTCGGCGTTGGAGGGTGCTTAGCCTTCACTTGGACGCCGTTCATCTGCGGCATCTGGGGTGTACCGATAGTCGCCGGTGTCGGGGCCGAGGTGGGACCATCATCTTCGAGCTTCGCCTGGGAGGCCCTCCTCTTCTTGTTATTCTGCTGAGGCGAAGTATTTGCGCTTGGCCCACTAGAGTTGGTGCCTTGCTGGCTGACTTGAAGCTGCATGGCAGGCGCTTGCATTTGGCCGGGAGCCGGGCTACCCATATGAGGAGACCCAGGAAGCATCTGGTTTGCCATCGCTGGACTGGCACCCATAGGGAATTGGTTATACCCAGGCGTCCTAGGTACTCCTTGCGGCATCGCCTGACCGTTGACATTTGGACCTTGACCCGTGATCTGGGTCATATACTGCTCAAGAGCAGCATACGGAGAAATGCCGGGATGGCTGTGGGAGAATGTGAATAGGGGGTTCATTTGGCCTATGATATCGGCCATCTGCACAAAACATCGAGTTAGCGTTACATTGTACCTGCAGAACAGTGCGTATTGCGACCACGTACCTCCAGGAACTGAAACACGCCTTCTGGAATCCCCATGCCGATTTTCACGCAAGAGTCCGGGAGCTCAATATCCGGCGGCGGAGTGGCTGGGCTCTTGTACGGCCTTTGCTTGCCCTTTTTGCTCATCTCTGGGGACTGCTTGCTGTCAGGCGGGTTCAGGGATCTCCACTCCTTGATCCAGGTATGCGAAGGCCGAGCAGCCTCGATGATTGCGCGCCGCGAATGGTACTCCTCGTGGTTCTCAACGACAAAGTCGAAAAGCTCGATATTTTGGTCGCTATCGAATTGGATCCGGAGAGTTCCATTGTGTACGACCTATTTCAGACTGGTAAGCGTGCTGCTACTACATAGGCTTGGGTTTAGGGCTCTCCAACTTACATGCGATCCATTGTCGTACCAGTAGAAGACACTCGCCTTGGCGATTTCAATGAAATGGCCGTCATGGGGCATCGATCTGTCTGTCGTCCCCTGCGTGACCAGCTGCATTTTCGATACGCCACTCTCGAAATGCACGTTGAAGAATCGCGGCAAAGCTGCGTAGTCGATCTCGTACGGCTTGGGATCGGCAGCTTCATCCTCACGTTTCTTAAAAGTTTGGCGGAAGACGCCTTTTTGGGAGAAGAACCGCTGGACAAAGTGGTGCCAGTACTTTAAGCCGTCTGCACCCTGGGAGCCCTTCAAAAAAGCAAAGTCAGCAAGAATGGACGTGAAGTTGGAATGGGGGATGTTCAGCGCGTAAGCTTACCGTGAACCCATTCAAGTGCTCATTGAACAAATTAAGCTTGAGCAAGCACTGGCCCTTCAAGTTTGCGCTATCTACACGTTTTTGCTGCAACAGGCTGGCAACATTGGCAGCTGCTTGGACTTGGGCATGGGCAAGCTGGGCTTGCTGGGCTTGTGTGGTCTGCGGCGTTTGAGGAGAAACCTGCTGTTGGGCGTTCGGCTGCTGTGTAGGGCCCTGAGCAGGCCCCTGATTCTGTGCTGGCCCATTAACTCCCGGACCTGGCTGAACCTGTGGTTGCTGTTGGTTAGGCTGCTGAGGCTGACCCGGCTGCTGTTGGGGCGGTTGTTGAGGCGGCTGGGCCTGTGGTTGTTGCTGCTGCTGCTGTGGTTGCCCCGGCCCTCCTTGCTGTGCCTGGGCCTGGGCCTGGGCAGCCTGAACTGCCGCCGACTGTTGGGCATGAGCCTGTTGCGTATGAAGAGCGGCCAGTTGAGCTTGCATGTTGAGGCCTGGGCCTTGGGGATTGATGGGGTGCTGGCCGGGGTTGTTTCCCTGCTGGGCCATTTGCTGTTGCTGCTGCTGTTGTAGTTGTTGCTGCTGCTGTTGCTGTTGCTGCATCGCCAACTGTTGGGCTATGAGATTCGGCTTTGTATAGCGTTAGCATTCTTGCAGTAGATCGCCTTTCGCAATGGGACTCTCGAATTCTTACATTCATCCCCTGCCCCGGGTGCTGTTGCGCTAGATGCTGTTGCATGTGGTGGGCCATTGGCATAGGGCCTCCCATTGCGCGCCTCTGCATTAACTGAGCCATTTGCTGAGGATTCATCTGGCCCATACCGGGGACACCTATTGGCATGCCTCCCAAGTTGTTGTACTGAGCCTGCTGGGCCTGCATCATCCTTTGGTGTTGCGCTTGCTGCAACTGCTGGAGCCTAACTTGCTGCAACTGCTGTTGCATGGCTTGGTTGTTGGGGACTGGAGATACGTTTGGGTTAGTTCATGGTGTCTAAAGCAAGCGAGGGGAGCATGATGGAAAAGGAAAGGCAGAACGTACAACCCATCCCGTTCATCTGTTGCTGGTATGCCGCCATCTGCTGAGGGTTCAAATGCTGCATGGCAACATGGGCGTTGGGGGTGCCAGGCGGCATTCCTCCCATGAGAGCGCCGGCGCTAATCTGGGGGCCGGGGCCGGAGACACCTAGGTGTGCCACCATCTGATGAGCCATGGCGGGGGTTGCGCCGGGCTGGCTGGGGTTGTGGGCCATGCCCGGAGCCATGTGGTGACCGGGAGGAGCTCCCGGATGTTGTTGCATTCCGCCGGGGTGCGGCGAAAAGGAGGGACCCATTGGCATGCTAGCCATCATCTCTTTCCTCTTTGCTGTCGACTATCCACAGCGTGGATATCGACGTGACTTCCTCCGCGCTATCGCATACGAAGTGTAACCAGTTTGTTGGTACGGGGGTTGCCGCGAGGGCCGGCAGAGGCGTTGGTCGGTCTGTTTCCTTGTCTGGCGCGCGCGCGTATCACAATGCCGCTTCAATCGGGTGGCGGTCGACAGGCGGTCGAGAGGCAGCTAAAGATGGCGTGTGCTGGACGACTGCTGTTGTGCTGTTGCACTTGCTGAGAGGAGGGTGAGCGTGTTGAGAGTGGCCGGGGATGCGACGGCGACGACGGCGACGACGGCGACGACGGCGACGACAACAGGCACGGTGTCGGTTCCTTTGGTGCGGACCTGGCGATCGGTCGGACAGGCTTCAAGCTGAGAAGGCGGGAGTGGCAGGTCTTGGTGGTGTGCGTGCACTCACAGCCAGCGACGGGGCCTTGTCTGGCGGCGGCGGTCGCGCGACGGGCAACGTGAGCGGAAAGTTGGGGGAGACAGTGGGCAAAGAGTAGATCCAAGTCGGTCGAAAGTCAACTTGAACCAGCCAGGGAACAGTGTCAAGTAAGCACACAGAGAGTGCCCCCGAGCGATCTGACACGCAAGGAAGAAGAGACGAAGCGGGACTGGTCCGGTAGGCGGATAGGTGTAGGTTGGTAAATAGGTACCAAGTGAGGTGACCAGAGCGGCAGTGTGAAGTGGAAGCCCAGGTAGGGTAGGCCAGAGGCTATTAGGTATGCCGATGCGGCAATGCACCAGGAATAGGTGGTGGAATGATTAGGAGGATTTCCCGTTGGTGATGGGAAGACTAGAGCGTCGAGGGTAAAAAGAGACTGCCCGTGCCCTGGAGAGAGAAAAAGGTGAGCGACAAAGCACTGGACCTCCTGCAACCTGAGATGAGGGAAACAACGAGCAACGACGTGTCGTGGACTTGTCGGAGTCGGAGGTGGATTGAGGTTTGGGGATGATTGGGAAGGGTAAGGTTGTGTGGATCTCCCGTCTTTCGACTCTGGGCTGCTGCTTGACTGGGAGTTTTTATGGGACTGGCGAGGTCTGCTGTGGGAGTCTGGGACCTGGACCTGGGCAGACGGGAGTCCCGTCAAAAGACAAGAGTGGGAGTGCTTGGCGGGCGAGCTGGATGAGGTGGTTTTGAACCCCGGGGGTACAAAGATCGAAATGCCACTTACTAACCGGTGATGACGAGCTCAGAAGAGAGCTTTCTCGATGAAACTTGTCTCTTTATTGTTTTGCCGGGTCAAGTTTTGGACATTGGTGGGAATGGAGAGGAAGAACTTCTTGGTATATATATAATTCGAACTGAGCTGTGTTAGGTCAGCACTGCACTGCACTGGATGCTGCAGATAAGTCACGGGAGCTCGGTTCTGTACAGGAAATGAGCTCCTTCATGATGAATCCCCACGCACAAGAAGGGATATATTGTCAGACTTCGAATACCGCAAACTCCGTCTTGAACTTGAGGCCCGTTGTTCCAAGGATGCGTCCGACAAATGTTAAACGCCCTCACATCATAATCACCATACAAGCAACAGCTTGATTTCTTCTGTAGCATACCCCTCTCTATCATTAACTCAAGACCTATTCCTCATCACGTACCAACGTCATCTGGGTAGAGAGAGAGAGTTACCAGTGCTCCGTGCACTGAGCCATCCTCATGCACCCGCGGAAATCACCACCCGAATTACCGGTCTCGGCCTCAGGCTCAGAGAGACTGGTCATGACACTTGGTGATAGAACAAGTCGCTTCGGGCCATACGAAATGGCCAAAAAGCCAGGCCAGTCGACCGAAGGCAGAACCCACGAACTTCCTCTTGACGTTGAAAGAGCGGGCTCGCAACAGCTTTCAGAATGATGCCACTAACCCTAACCCTATAATGCATGAGAAGCCAGGAAACTGAAAAGGGGGTGTCGGCTGTTGGCCCAGGCGATACCACACATCGTGAAGCGTCCTCTTGAGGTCGACTAAAGCACAGCGTTGACTTAATAAACATCAACAGAACTGAAGATATGTGTTGGGAGCCTGACGAATGAGTCTCATGGGCTGACTGAAGGTGTTCCTCGGATATAAGTCAAACATTGATGTTCAACAGGTTGGAGCGCCCCTTCAGTTGGTCCCGGAGCTGCCCGGCTCTCCAGCAGTGAGGTGGTCTGGAGTCTTCGTTGTGGACGGCCAACGGACTCTTGTCGCGATGGCGGCGATGGGCACCGGTCCGCCCGTTGGTGGGACCTTGCAGCGGGCGACGGGAGTTAATATGAGGTGGAACCCGGCATCACGTGTGTCTCCACGTGTCTGTGTTCTGCGCGCTTCCATTCTCTCTCCCGCCTGGAACTCACCGACCCCACCTAAATTTTCGTTATCGTTATCGCTTCCCGCGCAGAAGTATTTGAACTCTCCATCGTCGCAAACGCAACCTTATTTTTTCTTCCCTTCCTCAGAAACCAACAATCGCAAGCGCCGCGATTCTCGAGCTCACGCATTCCTTCAATCGTTGCGCCTGGTGCGCAATGATTCGAGTCTGCAGAGCTGGCAGGAACCGCTTCATTGCGTGTTCATGTATCTGCCCGCAGCATCTTGCTTCTCTTGAGGCAAGGCTGTGCGATATCTTGTCAAAACTTCCACCACGCGATCACAGCGTCGCATCCAGGTAGGTCAACAACAACTGCCATGGCAATCAACGAGGTAAGCGCCACTCCCCTTCACTTCTTTCCGCACATCATATCTTCACCAGCCCTTCTCCCCTGCATCCGCCTTCGGATGATGACAACTTCTGAAATGTCTTCTTTTCCCAACTGAATCGACCATGAACGAAGACTAGTCTGTTTCGGGCTTCCTCCTACGGGAGTCGGCCTGTTGCTTGCCAGTAATTTTTTCTGACTGAAGCGGATTGCACTTCTTCATTTTTCCATCCTTACCCACGCGCGTATCCACAGCAGTTTTCGCAAACATGCTTGCTGACTCGATACCGCAGACAGATACAGAATCTTCTCGAGCCTGGCTCTCATAACATAAAAGGTGCCTTCGTGCCCATTTCCTGTTGCCTCTGCTTCTCTTCCTGAGACGGACAACATCTTGATCTCGCGACTAAACCACGACAGCTTGATCACAATATCACTTTACCACAAGGTTAGTTCATACTTTGTGCGACTTGCACACATACACACACCCCCGATCCTTATGATGAAGAATTCCACATTCGCAGTTTCCACTCGAGACCCCACCTACGAGCCTTTCTCGGGGTCAGATGAGGGCGAAGTCTTCCTTGGATGTCTGATTGGATCATCAAACAACTTGTTTGAGCAGTCTTTTGTCTTGCGAGCATCAGCTAACAGATCCAAAGTACAGGACATCTACCATGAATCAAGAATATTAGATAGTTCAATGAAAACAATGATTCGAAAACACTTGTTTCCTCTCCGTTTCCGCGTGATCAATGTTGCATTGCCCTGGCCTTCCAGGCAGCTGCCAGCAGACGCGCTTCGGCGTGTCGAATCGACATTCACATCATTTTCCCAATTGATATGGATGTTTTCGCTCTGGCATAGAGAAATCACTTTTGACCCATTGCTGGGCGCCCATGTTGAGAGATCGTCTTGTATCTCACCGATATCTGGGAATCAGTAGAGGTTACATCGTTCGATTCGTTCTGGACGGCTTTTGGGGGGATATTGAGTTGTAGTTTGAATGCGTTAGAAAATACCACTAGATGGTCAAATGAAACATGATTAAAAAAGTGTCTGCTCCTGCCTCTTCATCCCTATGTGACCTATATCCATCAAAATTCCCTGGCGTAACATGTAGTGATATAGTATTCTCCATGGTACCTAGAGCATCGGGATATGCTTCCATGAAGATGAAGGTGTCGTGTGTTGACCGCATGGACGATACGTGAACTCCATCCGTCCGATAATGACTTGCAAAAACCGAACTCATCATTTTATTCTTCAACCATCTACGATGATCTACGATGGGCATACTGGTTCTTGATCAATATGACAGTTTCTGTGCGGTCAAGTATGCCATGCTGTCTGTCCAATGCCAACAGCAACTGGGTGCTTTCTTCCAACTCATCTAAGAAGATACTTTATTGACGTACTCGTCTACGAAGACATCGACGTCCTCATCTACGAAGACATCAACACCTGCTTTACCCAAAACCCATCCGCCTTCACTTCACTCCCAAGTGTAGCAAGTAGCATGATTCGTGACCAAAAGCGAAGCAGAAGAAAAGTATTACTTGTATATATATGGTTCATGATACCGAAGAATGTAAATGCCCAAAACCGATGATCTACCTTGAATGTTGAAACCCTTACACCCAACTCCAGTCCTTCTTCCGTTAACTCACCGCGCCGCGCCACATCCCTTCTTTTTCTTCTTCTCTCACCTGCCTCACTGCCCAGTCCCAGTAGTCCCAGTCCCAGTCCCAGTCCCAGTCCCCATCCCGAGTCCCAGCGCCCATCTCTCCAAAGGTTTGGTCACCATCCACTAATTGTCAACCACAACCTCCGAATTCGACGACGATCCGGCACCGGCAGCAGCACCGGCACCGACACTGGGACCGCCAGCAGTAGGCATAGCAGCACCAGCAGGACCAGCCAAAGCGGCACCAGCACCAACAGTACCAGCACCACCAACAGTACCAGCAGTAGCAGGAACAGCAGCAGTAGGACCACCGGCACCACCAGTAGGCGGGCTACTTATCCCTCCTCCTGCCGCTGCCGCTGTCGCTGTCCCGATGACACTGCTGCCCAAACCTAACCCCGTCCCTCCCATTCCCGTTGTTCCCCTGTCTCTATCAGCCTGACCCTGCAGCCCACCCCCAAACCCGCTTCCCACAGTTCCTATACTCCCCCCCATCGTCCCAGTCGTCCCAAGACTATTCATGCTCACACCCCCCGGCCCCGTTCCCAACGAGCCCGCATATCCTCCATACGACGAAGCATAGCCCATCCCAGAACCAGCGCCCATTGAGAAGGCTAGAGCAGACCCTGATCCAGACCCAGCTCCCGCCCGTTTTACCCGCCCGCCCACGATCCCCCGTCTGTTGCGACCGGTGCGGCCGCGGCCGAGCCAGTTCAGCTTGAGGAGTTTGTTGAGTTCTTCGATCATGCGGGAGGATTCATCGGGGGGCCCTCCGTTTCCACCTATCCCACCAGCAGCAGTGTTGGTGGGGGCTGTGGTTGTGGCATGGCTAAAAGGGGCGGTACCACCCGTAGGCGTATTCGGCACGCTACTGTTACCAATACCACCAAAGCTGCCGGCCAAGCTAGCGCTCAGACTAGATATCGACGGGCGAAGCGGGAGCGGGCCAGGGCTGGTAGCCGTTGGCGTAGCCGGCGACGGAGGGGAGGAGAACTGCGAGGGGGAAGACATAGTTTGGACGAGCGGGGGCAGGCCGCCCGCCGCAGAAGAGCTGGAGGGCGAGGCGGGGACGGTGGCGTTGGTCATGGTGGTTGTTGCCACGGAGGTTTGCGAGGAGGAGTAGGTGTTGTTGGTGTTGTAGGTGAGGTTGCCGGTGGAGGAGTGGGGATTGTTGTTTGGTACCGAGGACGATGAGGAGGAGGATGTGAAAGAAGGAGTGGTGGGCGCGGAAACGGATGCCAGGACGGACATGCATTGGAGCATGCGGCCGACCATTTCCGTGACTTGCTTGGAGTCTTCGACGTTTTGGTCGGCGGTTTTCCCGCCACCGCCGCCGGTAGGGTCGCGGAGGCTGCCGTGGATGGAGTTGCTGCCTATGCTTTTTATGCTGGGCGCCACGTGCGATGGGAATTGTTGTACTGGGGTGGACATGTTGAGGTTGAGATTGGCGATACCAACGCCGCTGGGGGTGGACATGGCGGCTTGGGCGGAGGCGGCTCCAAGGGCTTGAATGCTGCTTGGGGTGAAGGGGCGGTTGGCGTTGCCGTGGTCGCTGCCGAAGCTGACGTTACTAATGGCCCGCGAGCGGTTACCGCTTCCTGGTGTGGTATCGCCGCCGGCGGTGCCCATGCCCATGCCCATGCCGTTGCTGCTGTAGCTCGCGTAGGAGGGATCCATAGCGCCAACGGGGTTGGACATTGAGGTGTTTGGTCGTGGAGGGGCAGTGCCAAAGCCGGCGCCCATCCCTAGGGTCATGGTTGCTGGGAGGCTACCTGCGAAGGACAGCGAGAGCTGCGACTCTTGTGAGGGCGAGGTCGAGAGTGCGGACTGATAGACACCGCCTTGGTTGTGAGCCGTGTTTTGGAACCCAGATGTAGAAACCGGGACCGGAGAGGAGAGGGCCATGCTGGCTAGGTTCTGCGGTAGGAACTCGAGAGAGAGACGCGAGAACATGGTCTTCAGCGTGTCGTAGCGAGGAACAATAACGATATCTCGGAAGGAAAGGAGAACCAGTCTTCGTATGTCAAGGACGGATAAGGCCGGTATGCTGACGCCGTAACTTGCTGGAACACCACCCCAGAAGTCACGGGCTTGGTCTGGCGTCATCAAGGGCCCGTTGCCGGCAAATTCCATGTCTAATGGTAGAAAGACCGCTTGCAGATACGGTAGGATACTGGTAAATGTGAAGATCCAAAGCTCGACAAGGGCAGGAATCAAGCGGTCTTCCTGGGTCTTCTTCAAACTCTGATCGAGACTCGAGAAACCGGTCGTGAGAAAGTCCCGGATATCCTCGATAATGATATTTGGGCTGCGCCGCTTTATGCAATACTGGATATGCATCGTCACTATACGGTTCAGATCTTCTACAGGGAGACGAAGGTCCTCAGCCTCAAAGATGACAAGCAGCTTGGCCCTGAGAAAAGGCCAGGCGTCATCAAGGGTCATATTGTTGAGCCCGAACTTTTGGCTGTCAAAAGGCTCATTGTGGAAGAGTGCTGAGGCCAGAGTGCCAGTGGCAGAGCTCACGCTACTTGGACCAGGCCAGTCGCCTCCAGGGTTGTAGCTCGAGGCCGCTTCGTCAAGACTCTTGTCCTCCTTGTTCTTCTTCTCGCGCAAGGCACGGCCGCCGTGTCGCAAATCAAGACCCGATTTGAACGCATTGCTGCTGGGACCTGGACTTGTTGGCAAGTTGAAGTTATACAGACTGCTGGGAGCTGTTGGGTCTGTAGGCCTGGAGTTGCTCGAAGCTGACGAAAGCGGTAGGTGATACGCCTCTATCAGCTTTTCCTTCTGTCGTTTCAAGAAATGCCCATGCTTCTTCTCCTTTTCTTTCACCTCCTTCTCCGTAGCTTCGGCTGGTCGTATCGTGGCGGTTGACGAGTTGCCATGGGCATAGAAAGGCTGCTGCATATTCGATTCGAGACTCGTAGTGCTGTAGTTGGCTCGTTGTAGATTCGAAAAGGCATGCCCTAGCTTTCCCGGGCTGGGCAGTGGCTTAGTATCCTTTGACGATTCCCCCTTTGAGCTGGACTTGCCAGGACGTGAAAACAGCTTGACCTTGCTCTTTTCCGACTTGACGACAGGTTTCTCGGCAGGGACAGGCGGTGGAGTGGGTGTCAAGGGGTTCGTCGACTGGGTGGGCAGTTTCGGCGACGATTGCGCCGATCGGGGGAACACCACGTTCGCGGCCGCCGTGGCAGCAAGGGTATGGTTTCCGGGGAGGCCGTTGTGATATCCTTGACTTCCAAACACATTATCCCTTGGCGCGCTCGCCTCTGTTAAGCTCAACACCGGAGGGCTCATCGGACCGCCGCTCATGCGCTTGTTCGCGACCGGTGTTTGTTCATGATGCTCGGTGGACGGTGGTATCGTTTGGGACCGCTGACGGTGTTGTAGGTGAAGAAGGTGTTGATGCGCATACGGTGGTGCCTGTTGCTGTTGCTGCTGCTGCTGCTGTTGTTGGCTAAGCTGCGACTTGGAGACGGCTGCCTGCGCAGCAATGTGGCTGGCGGACATGTCTCGTTGCGCCTGCGACGGCGTCGGGCCGAGTTTGGGCGAGTCGGCTTGGATCTGGCCAAGATTGGAGGTGCTCGTCGAGGGCAGGGTAGGCTCGAACAGGCCCGCGTTCGCCGAGTGTTTGCGCGAGTGTGCGCCTACCCTGCCGGAGAAGGAAGTGGGCGTGGAGGACGTTGCGCTGGTCGGCGGGAGGGTCAGGGGGGAGGGCCCGTTGCGCGGGGGCGTATCGATGGGCGAATGTGTCCCGGCGACGGAGCGGGCGGCGGACAGGGCGGCGGTGTTGGATAGGGTCGGTCGCGAGAAGTTGGTCTGGAGACTCGGGGTGCTTTGGCTGTTGCTCTGAGACGTGAAGCTGCTGTAAATAGGAGTCGCGTGGGTTGGTGTTGTTCCTCCTCGTCGCTCGGGTGATGCTCCTGCTTTTCCTCCAAATCCTGATGCGCCTGGACCTCCTCCTGGCTGGGGCGACGGTGCGGTAGACTGGTTGGTTGTGCGAGGGATGGTCAATGGCGTGAGGTCGTCGTTGCTGGAGCTCGAGGCTGAGATCATGCGCACCGGGCCCGGAGACGGTCGATGGGGACGGACATCAACACCTCCAGTGGAGTTAGTGCTGGCCGGCAGCGGTGAGAAACTCCCTGGAGCCCTCTGCGTGGGTCCCGGGGTTCCTCTTCCACTTGTGGGTTGCATTGTTTACTGCTGTTGGTCCTCTCGCTGGTGGTGTTTTGTGATGGATCATACGTAAAGGTATGGTTACTGGCGTAGGTTGTTTCGCATAGGCTTTTCCTTCGCAAGGGCAAGTGTCACATCTTCCTAACCCGGATATCTGTAGAAGAAGACCATCAGCCGTCGGGGATTGTGTATGTCGGTCGTCAGGTCATTGAACATGTGTGTGAACGTAATCGCTGAAATGATCAAAAAGAGGAGGACGGGAAGATCAGGGATAGAGATATGTAGCTAAAAGATGGAAAGGGGAACTTGTAAATTCAATTGAGCGTACGACACTGCATCACAAGCGCTGATTGGGGCTCCCTTCTCTTCCACTTCCAAGCATTCCATGGCACCTCCCCTCCGAAGCCTCCTCACTCCCACTTTCCACTTCTAGTGCTTACGTACCTATTCCAATCTTTCTCTTGCAGACTAACACCGATACGACGCCACTTTTTGTTGTTTGGGATTTGTTTTGGCGATATCCAACTTGAAATCCAAATCCAACAGGGGGGGTTGATGCTTGGCAGGCAGAATCAGGGGCTAGATCGCCCTAAATTGTTCCTCACTATGGAACTTTTGTGGGGAGGCTTAGTACCCCGCAGTTAACGTCCCTCAGGCGCGTGCAGGCGGGTGTCATAGGGCAGTCTCGCGAACGTGGTTCAGCGGACATTTGATGAGATGCATTTTGAGGTTTCCTTTTTGTTCATGAGAATCTGATATCGATAAGAATAAAAACAACCTCATCATTGGAAGCTCATATAGCTAAAAAAAAAAAAAAAAAAAAAAAAGCCTCTCGTATGTATAAGTCTTCAGATATCTAAACAATATCATCACTAACCATAACCCAGAGAAATTCCAACGAGCATCCGATCCGATCCGATCTTGCTTCTCACTCACCTCACAAAGTCTCAATCACCACCTCACCTCTCATCCAAAAACCAAAATGGCCTCCTCAACCACCTTCAAAGCAACCTACACCAACTCAACCAACCTCTCCCCCTCCTTCACATTGACCAAAGATGTCCCCACCACCACCACCTCTTCAACCTCGTCAACAACAACAACAATGACCACTTCCGAGCGCGCCAAGTACCTCCACGAACTCCGCCAGATCGCCGCCACCTTCCAAGACGACATCAACCGGGAACTCACGCAGCGAATGGAGGAGGACAACAAGCGGGCACCCCAAAACCAGAGTAAGGGGAAGGAGGAGGAGGAGGCCAAGGAGGAGGAGAATTATGGCGAGGAGGTGGAGGAGGAGGAGGAATGAGTAACGAACGGGGTATAGCTGGGATAAACGGAAAAGGGGAAAGGAAACAGCAAAGGGAAGGAAAAGGAGAGGGGAAGGAAAAGGAGAGGGAAAGGAAAAGGAGAGGGAAAGGAAAAGGAGAGGGAAAGGAAAAGGAGAGGGAAAGGAAAAGGAGAGGGAAACGAAAAGGGGAAGAGAGGGCGGGAAGAAAGAATTTGAAAGAGAAGGAGGTTGTTGTTGGCGTATGGATGAATCTGTTGTTTTGTGATTCGAGATGGGGAAATGGGGATTCTGGTGTGCACTTTATTAGGTTTTGCCTGCGTGGAATACCATGTTGGCTCAACGATGTTGGTCTGTCTGACTGGATGAAAAACATTACTACTGAACGAAAGGATTGCCTCCAAGGTTGTCATTACCTATATCTCAGTAAATGTGATATTGAAGGCTATGCATGAAATCTGCCCCCTTTAAACTCAAAAACTCATCGAGAAAGGAGATCCTGCAGGAAGAGAAGAGAAGCCCAATTAGATTCCCTCCGGATCCGCACCGCGGTGTCCATTAAAAGCATACTCAGAGCGAACAACAAAAGCGTAATACATGGACAGGGACGATACTCCAAAAAACACACTTGCCAAAATGCTTGATCGCCACTTTCTCTCCTCCTCCTCCTCTAATCAGCCGTTCTTTTCCTTTCCACCTTACCAACCCAACCCCATACGTATGTGTGAGAATATCTGTAACTATAGGTACGTAGGCTCCTTACATACCAACAACCCTCATAGCACCATACCCAACCGTGACGACCACCACGAGACTAAGCAAACTGCTGGGCACGCCACGGCTGATAAAGTGCTTGACTTGCAGGTAGCGCTGGCCTGCCGGGTCTTCCTTCATGATGGCGGCTGCGATAGGATGATATGGTTAGCTTTTTTTTTTTTTTTTCAAAAAGGGGCAACAGAGGGGAAATACATACTCATATTAGGGAATCCAGAAGTAGGCAGCGCCATAGCAGCACTGCACATCAACACGCCCGCCATGACCAACAAGTTCGGGTGCGGCTCGTCCAAGCCCTTACCAACATCGTACACCAGCGGCAAGATAATCAGCGCCGCAACGGTGTGGCTGATGAACGTGGCAATCACCAAGATCAAGCTCGAGAAGACGAGCAGGACACCGTAAAGGCTAAAGTCCTTCACCTCTTCCGTGATCATCCTGGTAACGGCGTGCAGCAGGCCAGACGAGTTGACCGCCTTGCCAAGTGCCAGCCCGCCAGCCGCCAGAATGATGATGGTCCAGGGGAAGTTGTTGAAGTCCTCCTTGGTCAGGATGCCGACGCCGAAGAACAAGACGATGGGGATGATGGCGATGACGCCCATGTGTCCGAACTCGGCCTCGAGCTGGTGAGAGGCGCACCATAGGCCGATGGTGGCGACGGTCACGAGGGTGACGAACCACTGCACGCCCGTGAAGCGGTCCTTGACGGGGCGGATGGGCACAATGGTGGTGCCCTTGCCCGGTTGGAAGGTGAGGAGCAGCAGGGCCCAGATGAGAAGCAGGGAGATGATGCCGACGGGGATGACGATGAAGAACCATTCGCCCCAGGTGGGAGGGGGCTCCATCAGGCCGATGGCGACAATATTTTGCGGGGAGGCGATGGGCGAGAGCATGCCGCCTATGTTTGAGGCAAGGGCGATGCCCATGATGACGGCCTTGGACATGTTGGAGCCGGCAGGGAGGTTGCGAAGCATGGGCTCGATGATACCAAAGCAGAGGACAGGAGCGGCGACGTTGCTGATCAGCATGCTGGCGAATGCGGCCACGGCCATGTTGGCGATGAGGACCGTCCTAGGTTGTGTTCCTGCCTTGCTGAGAACGAAAGTTGCTATCCGCTTGTCGATACTGCACTTGGAGAGAGCGGCTGCGACAGTGAAGCCACCGAGCAGAAGCATGATAACAGGCGTCCACATGGCCGAGAAGACCACGTCGGTGGCCGCCTTGGCACCCAGTCTGTGATGGGGCTTGTCGGCCTCGCGGAAGACTCGAAGAACAACGCAGAGGAAAGGGATGGTGAGTGAGGTGACGAAGAGGGGAATGGCCTCGGTGGCCCAGAGCAAAGAGACAAACACCAGCAATGCCAGGCAGTTTTGCTGCTCGGGCTTCTTCATGACTGGAATAAAGAGCAACGCGAAGAATATGGCAAAGATGATGATGAGAGTCATCAGAGTTGAGCTGACCAGCCAAGCAGGTAATCTGAAGCGACCAAGCGGCGTTGCGATCTCCTTGGTCGGCAACACCAGCTCATCGTCGCCCTGAAGGCGGTGGCTGGTTGGATCAGCATCTCGCCCAAGGAGAGTATGTCCCAGGCTTGCGGCTTCAGCTCGCCGTTCCATACCGATCAGTTCTCTCCAAACGGTATTTCGTTCCCAGACGACATGCTCTCTAAGGTGCGATCGCAAATCGCGCGTGGCCGCCTCCTCGTCGCCATTGGTAACGATGTCCGTATATGCGCGGACCATCAGGTGAATCTTTTCTTCCAAACCCTTGGTTGTCTCTGGACTGAAGGCATATGCGGTATCGACAAAGGTGTCCATGTACTTGGCCCGCAACTGTCTGTCAATAATCTTGTCGAACTTCTTGAGGACCTTGCTAAAGCCCGTCCTGTTCAGCTGGATGTACGACTTGAGCTCGCACAGCTGGACAAAGAGGTTGATGATCCTCTTCTTGAGCATGATGCCCGAGGAGAACAGAGCAGCCTGCTCGGCATAGTCGTCGTCGTAAACAATGCTATACCTGCGAGACCTGGTCATCTCTGTAGAGGCTGTCATGTCGCCAATGGAGGACATCATATGCCCAGGGACAGCGGAGCTTATTTTTCGCCTCCCCAGGCTCGCCCGCCTCTTTTTCCCATGTGTGTTCAGGCCGGTGTGCTCATCGTCACTGTTGTCGCTGTTGGTACGGTCGTCGTCAGTCGAGGCCCGGCTCGGCAGGCTTTCTACGCTCCGGGTTCGCAAAGGTCTCTGGTGCTCGCTGCCGCGGGTGGGGGGACGGAGCTCGCGCTCTTGGTCGGTTTCACCGGACTCCTCCTCGAATGCGCCGACGTCGTGCAAGAGGTTTTGTACCTCCTCAAACAGCTCCCTCTCTTTGACAGAGTAGAAGGACAAGACCTTTTCCAGCTCGACATCCAGGGCACGAATGAAGACGACTTCGGGGTCTTCATGTTGGATTAGCGGGCGCGACTCCCCGTCTCCGCCGGATGACAGGTGGACAACCTTTTCGAGCTGGTAGATGCTAGGTGATTATATGTTAGCTGGCTGACTGAGCACGGCGGAGATAAGACAGGTTCGGCCAGCTTACAGCTTCTTGAGGTTGCTGTATGCGATGTAATGCGTGCTCCAGTCCGGCACCGCATTGAACTGGATGCTGTGGGAGAACTTCATGTCGTCCTGTGCCTCAAGCCAGCGGCGCTTCCTGGCCTTCTTTTCTTCCTTGCGCGCGGCGCGATCACGGGATGGATTGAGGTTGCGGTTGGTGTCAGCTGTGTCGTCAGCTGTGTCAGTGCGAGGCTGCTTGGGTTGCGGATATTCTTGGAGCTCGAATTCGTTTTGGTCTACTTGTGTCTTGCTTGGTTGTGCAGAGACAGAAAAGAGGACGCTGCGGGGATGATGGTCTTTTCCAATTCTTCCTCTTGTCCTCCCTCCCCTGTCCTTGGCAACAGCTGGCGTTGGTGTTGTTCCGAGTGGCGGTTGATTCGCCTTGTTGTTCCCGTCGTCGTTCTCGTTCTCGTGGGACAGCAGATGGCGCTTTGCGGAGAGTTGGTCGGGTCTAGAGGAGGAGGGGCTTCCAGACTCGGCTGAAGAAGCTATGGTGGGCAACAATATCTTTTGCCTTGCCCGGGAATAGGAAAGGCAAGATTGAAATCTAGTACGAAACAAAGACGGTCACAGTCACCAACAAGTCAGCATTCCTTGAAACCATCCAAGACTAGTGAAGAGGGAGGTGTTCTGTCGCTGACGAAGATGGGCCATTTACAACCAATTGCGCCCGTCAATGCTGCAGCCGCTCCACTATCTTACAGCGGATCGGGTGGGGTCCTGTCAGGGAAGTGAGGCTCTACATAATACCCGAGTTGGATGCACGATTCGAGCAGCAGCACCACGTATAATCTGTATAGAGCCAGAGCCGTCGGGTGATGAAAGCCGAATCGACAAAACATGAAACGAAACTGTCCAGACCAACACTAGAAACAGGCCAGCATGCACTGAGAAGTTATCAAACAGACTGTTATTTGTGCAAATCGTAGACTCTTTATCCCAAAACGAAATACCATACCATGATGAGATACAGACTGCGTAGAGTCTCATGACTCTGAGCGCCGAGAGCTCTATCGAGAGGTACCAGCTCGTAACGACCCGTAACAGTACAACATGAAGGACTCCATCGGAACTCTCCGCATCGGCTTGTTGATTCGAGAACCTCGACGGTCGTACATGATTGTGGACAAACTTGTTCAAAAACACAACCTCGTCAAAGATCTGGCAGAGAGAAATAGGGGAAGAAGCCAAGTAAAGATACGAGCTTCTTGTACGTATCTTCCAAGTCTTGGTTGCAAGGAAGGGGAAGGGCTGAGAGGGCCAAGAATACGCACACATATACCCCTAACCCTGCCACTCACAAGAGGGGTCACTGTAGTGCTGGCAGCGGGGGTGGAAGGTGGGCAGCCTCGACCCTTGAACGCGGCGCCTGACCGTCGGTACCTCTATCACCACTGCCTGGCGCATTCCACTTGCCAATCGCCATGCCGTCATCCTCCACTACACCCACTCGGCTGCGATAACACGATATCGGAACATTCCAAGAGACGAGAACCTGCGCCAGCGTTGCTCGACATTTTTGCTCGAAACACACAATCTAATGCGTTCATAACCGCCCGTTGATCACTGCTGCAACCAGGCAGCAGCTGGCCCGTCGCCATGCTCTCCGCATTTACGGCTCGACCCATCATCGAGCTCAAGCAGAGGGACAAATCCAAGATCGAGTCGATCCTCGCCTACGGTGACCGCGTCCTCGTCGGCCTAAATACAGGATCTCTCAGGATATACCGAGTAAACGAGCTCCCACCCGCTCCTCCACCATCGAGCCAGGCTGCGGACGGAACATCGTCAAGCGAAGCTACCGAACTGACGACCCAAGATCAACAAGAACCTTCGACGGCCCAAGACTACCATGCTGCCGCGCCTGGCTTTCACAATGCTCAAGCCGCGCCGAAAGGGCCCAAGCCCACAGACCTCCTTCGCGAGGTAGAAAAGTTCTCGACGCGCGCTATCGAACAACTCGCTATCATCAAGGAAGCCAACACCATAATATCTCTGTCCAACTACAACGGTGTTGCCCTTCACGACCTCCAGACCTTCGAACCGATCGAGTTCCCCACAGCCCGAACCAAGAGCGCTTCCACCTTCGCCGTCACAAGCAACATTGTCAGGGATCCCGACACAGGGATACCTGAGATTATATCGCGTCTAGCTGTTGCCGTAAAGCGCCGCTTGCTGTTGTGGTCATGGCACGAGAGCGAGCTCTCCCCCGATGTCACCGAAATAGTCCTGTCCGAGGCAATCCGGTCCCTCACGTGGGCCAACGCGAATAAGGTGGTATGCGGCATGAACGGTGGCTACCAGATTGTGGATGTTACAACCGGTCAGATGGAGGATATTGTTGGTCCTGGGGCTATCGGGGCAGCAGGAGGGCAAAGTCGTTTTGGCGCTACAGCCAGTATGGGATACATGGGGCTGGGCAACTTTACGCCCAAGCCTCTGTCGGCAAAGCTCGCTGAGGGTCAGCTCTTGCTCGCCAAAGATATCAATACGTTATTCATCAATGACTCTGGGAAGGCCTTGGAGAAGCGCCAGATTCCCTGGCAAGCTGCTCCTGAGAGCATTGGATACAGTTACCCCTATATTCTTGCCTTGCAAGCGCCAACCAAGGGCAGTCTCGAAGTACGAAATCCGGACACATTGAACCTACTCCAGGCCATCAGTCTCCCTGGTGCTGCTTCTCTGCATTTCCCACCACCCACGGTTAGCCTGGCACATGCCGGAAAAGGCTTCCATGTCTTGAGCGAGAGAGTGGTGTGGAAGATGGATGCCACGGACTATGATTCCCAGATCGACGAGCTGGTAAAGACTCAGAGGTATGATGAAGCAATCAGCATCTTGGCCATGTTGGAGGATGCGCTTCTCAAGAACAAAACCGAGACCATGCGCGAAGTGAAAATGCTCAAGGCCGAACTGCTCTTCCGCCAAAGGAAATTTCGCGAGTCGATGGACCTCTTCAATGAAGATGAGGTCCAGGCTCCACCTGAGAGGGTGCTAAGGCTCTTCCCCAAGATCATCGTTGGAGAGCTGGGTGTTGATGAGAAGAAGCCTGAAGAGCCGCAGGAAGACTCGGACCACGAAGGGCCCCCTAATGGCAAAGCAAATGGCGATCATGCGCCAAAGGAGGATGAGCCGCATTTTGAGGTATCATCACCACAAAAAGGCGGTGGGTTTGCCAAGTACCTGATGGGTCAAGGCCGCAAGAAGTTTGATCCAGAGACGTCGTCCATTGTCTCTTCCAGAAGGGTCCCAGTCGATGATGACGCGGCCAGCATCAGGACTAGCAAGGCGGCCGAAAATCAACGCGCCCAAGATGAAAAGGATCTCATGACAGCCGTCTCGGAGCTGAACAGCTACTTGGCTGGAGCAAGAGCGAGACTTCAGAGAGTTATCGATCCAGCCACCGGAAAGTTGAAGCCGCGCACAAGCGGGGCCACAGAGGAGGCTTTCAAGACACTCCTAATGTCTCATAAGGATGAGGATGATGAACAGCTTGAGAAGGATCTACAGGAGACTTTCAGAGTTGTTGACACCACTCTCTTCCGCGCATTCATGTACTCCCGTCCGACGCTAGCCAGCTCCCTTTTCAGAATCCCCAACTTCTGTGACCCACAAGTCGTCAACGAGAGGCTTGTAGAGCACAACCGGTTCAACGAGCTGGTTGACTTCTTCTACGGCAAGAAGCTTCATCGTCAGGCTCTCGATCTGCTTCGCAAGTTCGGCTCGCCGGACGAGCCCGATGAGGCGGCGCCTACGTTGCACGGTCCCCAAAGGACGGTCCTGTATCTTCAAGGTCTTCCGCCTGAGCTGATTGACATCATCCTCGAATTCTCCGAGTGGACGTTGAGGAAAGACCCCAAGCTAGGAATGGAGGTCTTCCTCGCCGACTCGGAGAATGCGGAGACTCTCCCGAGAGCGCGGATCCTCCACTTCATGGGTGGCATCGATACGGCCTTGGAGATACAATACCTGGAGCATATCATCTCCGAGCTGAATGACATGACGCCCGAGTTTCACAACCGCCTTGTCGAGTTGTTTATTAGACAGCTCAGAGAGGAGAAGAAACCAGGGGAGAAGGAAGAATGGGACTCGCTCATGGAACGGTTGGTACAGTTCTTGAAGGACAGCCGGCAGTACAGCCTCGGGAGAGCCTTCAGTCTCATCCCCCGGGACGACTCACGCTTCTACGAAGCGCGAGCTGTTGTCCTCAGTAACATGGGTCAACACAAACAAGCACTGGAGATCTACGTCTTCCAAATGAAAGACTACAAGAAAGCAGAAGAGTAAGCAACCCTTCTCATCCTTCCCGCCTTCATCCACCTATCTCATACTAACCAACTCAACCTTACCTCTCCAGATACTGCAACCGCATCCACAAATCCTCCGAACACCCTCAACCCACCTCCCCCTCGCACCCCCCCGGAACCACCACCATCACCTCGCCCTCCACCTCCACTGAAGACCCTTCCCAAGACGAAGCCCACCCCTCCATCTACCACACCCTCCTCTCCCTCTACCTGACCCCTCCCTCCCCTCACAAACCCAACCTGCCTCCGGCCCTCGACCTCCTCTCCAAGCACGGCTCCCGCCTGCCCGCCACCTCCACGCTCTCCCTCATCCCGGATGACCTGCCCGTCTCCGAGCTCGAGGGCTACTTCCGCGGCCGCATGCGCAACGCGAACAGTATCGTCAACGAGACCCTCATCGTCGCGGGACTGAGGAAGACAGGGTTGGTTACTAGCCAGGCTCTACTGTTGTTGGGTGATGGGTTGCCGAAGGGAGCGGTACCGGGTGGTGGAAGCAGGGTAGGAGGGAGGAATAGGCGCGTGGTGATTGGGGAGGAGAGAGTTTGTGGGGTTTGTCATAAAAGGTTGGGTGGGAGCGTGGTGGCGGTTTTGCCGGGAGGGGAGGATGCGGTGGTTCATTATGGGTGTTTGGGGAGGAGTCAGCAGGGGAAGGGAATGGGGATTGGTGAAGTCATGAGTCCCGGGGCGACAGGGAGTGTGAAGAGTGGTGTGAGCGGGACGCAGTATGGGGCTTGGGGGAGGGGGTAGGATCAGTTTTGGGGTTGGTTGGTTTATGAATATGGGTATGAATGAGTGATGATTCTTTAGGTTTATTATGAAATGAAATGGATTGATTGGTTTTGGCATGATATCTTTGAGTCGGGACGGAGGTCCATTGTACGGCGGCGGCGGTTGTCTTTGTGCTCTGCATATTATTTCGTTTTATACTTTTGTTGCCATCACGTCTTTACTCTGTCGGAGGACATGTACTGTTTACGAAAAACATAGCGATTGAGTTTCTCATTCTCAACCGTCGTCTCGTCTTTCTCGTCCCGCTGGTTCGTTCGTTGGGATGTCACGTTCACACTGGAATCGAAGGGGAAGTTTTTAAAGGGTGCTTCAGTTCCATCTTCGTCTTGTCTATTTACCTGGGAGGGAAGGTGCGAGTTTGCTGGCTCAGGGTTGTTGAGTTCAGTTCTGTGTGCTGGGGCTTGGCAAGGAAGGAGCAACTTCAGTTCCATTTGTGGGAGGTGGAGTGACGGAGGTCGTGGATGGGATCGTGAATGTCTCTTTGATGCAGCGACTGAGCAGGTCAGAAACCGCGGTTGAATCAGCGTCCGGGCCAAAAAAGAAAGAAAAAAAAGGTGAACGCAGTCGACGATGCTCCAAGGTAGAAAATGAAGGAAGAAGAAAACCCGAAAAACAAAAAGCTCAGTCAGCTCCACAAGATCGGGAATCGAACTCGCAACTAAGGAGGACTCAACCGACTAAGATGGCAGACCTACGAAAATACCAACGCATTTTCTGGACCCAGCGCCTTACCACGTAGGCTACTGGACCGTGGTGGAAGGTCTACACTTTGGTGCTTATATGGTCCCAGTAGGTCATGCCGCTGGAAGGATGGTGCCTGTGTCCATTTCCCGTATATTGGAACTTAGTAGGGCTCGTTCCTTCCACCTTCACTTGGTCACTTCACTCTGTACTGCCAGCATGCCGGCCTTCCGTTCCTCTTTGCAACCACTGCTGGGCACAAATGGGAGGCGGGTATGTAGCTGCCTCGAAGACGAATGCGGTTCGTTGGTGGAGAAGAGACTTCATTTAAGGTTCCAAAACTGAGTGGCCGAGCTGGAAAGCAGAAACCCATTAAATCCTTTCCCTAAGTAGCCATGCCCATTATGTCCTCCCCTCCTTTCCTTTCCTTCACTTCCTTCCTTAAGGTATGCTCAAACAACTGTCGCGGTTCCATCCAGCATAAAAAAAAAGCACCTTGGGTATCAGTTTAACATACATGTGATGGACAATCCCATTGCTTGCTTTTCCGATTTCCCTTTCCACCTAGGTAACCATTCCCCATATCATGTCATGAAACACACCATACCCACTTGACTTAGTTCCAAAGACGTGACGTGCCATCTTCACTGTGCTCAATGCTCTCATCTCTCTGTGGTATAAACTCTTCGCTCTCTTCCATTTCCATTCGTATCCAAACTCCCATCTTCCTGTTCAAGCAATAGGATTCCCATTAGCCTGCTGGTGCCCCTGACCCCCACCATGCCCACCATGCCCACTCCCATGCCCCAACGAAAACACCTTCTGCAAACTCCTCCTTATCCCCCCCTTCCCGCCACCATTATTCTCATCACTCTGACTCCCCGACCTCTCCCGATCCCTATCCTCCGCCGTCGACACCCTCGTCAAATGATTAACCACCCCCCCAACCAACGCCACAATACTCGATCTCCTCCCCGCATTAGGAGCAGCAGCATCACTCTTCCTCCTCTGCTTCTCCGCCTTCTCCGCCGCCCTCTCCTGCCTCTCCTGTCTCTCCCTCTCCTCCTTGGCCTCCCTCTGTTCCCTCGCCTTCTGCTCCCTCTCCTCTCTTTGTTGTCTAGCAACCTCCCTCGCCCGTTCCCTCACCTCGTTCGCTTCTCTCGCTGCCCGTTCCCTCACCTCGTTCGCTTCTCTCGCTGCCCGTTCCCTCGCCTCCTTCTGCTGTTGCATCTGTTTTTGGAGGGCTATTTTTTGTTGCCGCCGCGCCGCAATCTCCGCAGCGCTCATCGGCTTGGGTACAGGCATGGGCGGTGCGGCAACGTTGGTGTATTGCGATTTGGGCGGCCACTCGCCGTCGCGCTTCCAGCCGACGACGCAGGCGCGCAGCATGTCGGCGAGGTTGACGGGGCAGGAGGGTTGCATATTGTTGATGATGATTTTGTCGTAGAGGGAGGGGTAGATGGAGGGCGTGACGGAGGCGCGCATGGGGTTTTGAGGCGGGAGGAGGGGAGCGGGGAGGGGGAGGAGGGTTTGGACTGGGTAGAGAGATGTGTTTTCGGGGGCGGATGGTGAGGCGGGGGAGGTGGAGGGGACTGTGCTATCTGTAGCATTGCCGCCTGTTCCTGTTCCCCGGGCTGAAGTGTCGGATACGGCGTCGCTTTGGGCGCTTTGCTGGGAGGTGCGCGTGGTCGTGGGGGACAAAGGGGCGGAGAGGTTTGTTGCTGGTGGTGGTGGTGAGCCGACTGGGTGCGCGGCGGCAGCGGCGGCGCTGGTGAACTCGGAGGAGCGGTGATGGCGCCAGAAGGAGAGACGGCGGGTCGTTGTCGACATCGTTGTCGTGGGAGACACGAGGCTCATCGGCTTGGGCTTGACGCGGACCGTCTTCGCGCCTGTCCAGGCATTACGGCGAGCTTCGAAGCAGGCCAGCCCGGGATTCCACGAGGCTTCGTCTCTCACTGCCCGCCTCCTCTTGGCCCGCTTTGCTTCTAGGGAGCACTTGACGGCGGTTCCGACTGCGTCGGGGCTGTCGAAGCGGAAAGGCGAGGAGGTGCTGGGAGCTGGCTCGTCGTTGTCTGAGAGATCGGAGGTCCAGTCCGCTCGGGGACGATAGTGGACGAGGTCTTCTGATATCGTGCTGTAGACCGACTCGGCGTCCGATTCCGAATCTGCTTCCTCTCCTGGATCCCGAGGCGCATCGTCGTCAAAGGTTTGAACTGCGGCGGCCTCGTCTGCTATCCTGGGTGAGCCATGCTCGTTGGGCGCGGTGATGCTGTCTGATGGAGGTTGAGCGATATCGCTCTTCTCTTGCTGCTGCTTCTCATTGGAGGTTGGTGCTTCTTTTGTTGACTGTGATTGTGTCACAGGTGGCCATTCGAACTCCCAGTCATTTCGAATCTTCTCAAGGAGGTACTTCCTGACAGCTTCCTTCTGCTTCGCCTTGTCTTTGCTCACAAGGTCGGCATCAAGGTCGGGCGGTAGGACAACCGGCTGATGGTGAGGAAACGAGTGCCTGAGCTTGTTCAGAGGCGACCTGGGTGACTTGTACAGGTCGGCGAAAATCATGGTAGACTGTGGTTGATTATTAGGTTGGGTGGTTGAATCGTGATCGCCACCCTTGGGACCGTTGGGGAGCTCCGACGTCAACGGGGACGACCTTATATAAGTCGACGGCGACGCGGGGGGTTGCGATCCGGGTTGAGCACACGGGCAGTGACCAGGGTGATGATTGTGGTTAGACTCGCTAGCCTCTGCTTGAGGGTAGTCACTGGGGTCACCGGGGTGCTGAGGGTCCTTTGGATGGTGGCCAGGGTGGTCGATAGGGTGGTCTACAGAATGGTCTGGCTGATGCGGGGCCGGCTTGGCTCGAAGTGGTATGATGTCCTGCTGCTGGTCTGGGGCTGGAAGACCGGAGTACGACCACGCGTTAGCGATCAGCGCATTGTCTTTTTTCTTGTCTTTTATCGCGACTCCGGAGAAAATAAGGTTGTATGTATGTAACGAATGCCGAATGTGGTCCGTGAGAAGTTGGGGAAGCTAGACAAGAAACAAGATTCTGGATCCCTGTTGAAAACGGGGGGATAGACACGGGGGATAGACAGGAGAGGAGCAGGAATCGTTAAATGAGGACTGTCAAACAAAGAAGAAGATATGCCAAGATTAGGTAGATCTGGGGTACCAAGAGATCAAAATGAAATGGGATCCCCATGGAGAAAAAAAAGGGCAAAAGCCACCGTGTAAATGGCTGACGATGAGTGGACGATGACTGGTCCTTGACTAACGGTGGCGGCCATGTCTACAGTGTACATTCAAAGACATGCAGACACACCAAACCAGACCAGGCCAGAGTCCAGACCGGGGGCACATGATGAAGCTAAAGAAAACGACATGTACGATTCCCATCAGGGAGGTGATGATGAAGAAAATAAAAAGGGTAACTCACTCTTGTCCGTGCTAGTGTTGGTGACTGAGTTGGTCTTGTCTTCCACGACGGTTGATGTGTTTAAGCTCAACTCATGTCCATTTCCCTGCTGTTGATGTTGTTGTTGCTGTGACAATGCGCCAGCTTGGTCCGAGGAAATGCCAGTGACGGAGGCGTTGCCAATCTGGTCGTTATGAATGCCAGAGCCACCAGAGGCAGAGCCAGAGCCAGTGACACTATCATATCCAGTCCCATGTCCAACAAATCCGGGCCCAGGCACAGGCACAGGCACGGACTCAGTTGTGGTGGTGGTGACAGTATCGGTGGTGACAGTGGTGGTGGTGGTAATGGTGGTGGTAATGGTGGTGTTCTTGTGCTCTGACCCCGACATGCCAGCCACAGCCGGAATGGTCGGCGCTTTATTGATCATGTCTGGCGCATCTGAGATCACCGTCTCGTCGTTATGCATCCTGTTCTGCTTTTCCCTGCTTTTAGCTTGGCAGCCGTTTTTTGTATTACTCTCCACTGTCTGTGAGGACCTCTCATGTATTTGTATATAGGTTGACGGGGAGTCTCTTTGGTCCTTTGTCCTGTCTTGTCGACCCGAGAGTCTACACACAACAGCCTTGTGAGATTCGTACAGTATGCGCCAAGCTGTATAGTATCTTGGTGCCCTGCGCGACAAGCTATGTGCTGTTTGTGCTTTTGCGACTGGAATACCAAAACAACATCAACAAGTGGAAGAGTCGAAGATGGTGACCCGAAATAGGTAAACTGACGCGGCAGGATCCGGTCGTTGCCAGTTGCCAGTTGCCACCCCTCAGTTAGGTTCCGTTTTGAGGCTGTCAGTCTGTCTCGGAAGTGCTGGGGCTGCCGAATGCAAGTCGAATTTGGCCGTCGCAACAATCGCAAAGAAAACAAAAAGTCTGCGCAATTCAATTTTCGCGTTTCAATCCATGCACAATCCCTCGTGGACGGGTGCCAAGAAAAGCAAGATGCTTGGGCCACGATGGGGTCTTTTTGTCTTGGCTTCTTTCCCCACTAATAAATGGGGCATCTGTATCACCCACCGTGCTTGGGTACAGTACCGTATCATTCCCGTCACTTTGATGGCTCAGTAGTAGCACATTCAGCTCGCGATGCCCTCACTTTTTGCTGTTGGGCAACAATCTGAATATGTTAGTGTACCGTGTGATGTCCATGTGACGGGAATCACCCTAATAAACCCCTCACGCTACCTCTGTACCTAGCGGCGATCGGGCGGCAGTCCCCCAAAAGTTCACTCCATGGGTAGATGACTGGATGTTCCCCATCGTCGCAATCTCCCGTCACTCGTTACGGGATCTGGCACCACGAGTGCGCAAGTGCAACATTCGGTTGTCGTGTGACGTGAGGTTTGTCCATACGGTATCCATGCCTCTTGTTGGTAGATCCACAAAGTGTACTTCAATGGTTCAGAATTTGGCTCGAAATCTTCCATCATACTCTTTGATATCGATTCAATCACATGCCCTTCCCTTGCCTATTGCTTGCATGCTTGATATCGAACTCTCTCAACACAGTCGGATCTGTGACTTTGAACGCAAATAAAATCCCGTTCTGTGCTGTACGGTGGTATTCCAAATCCCATCCATTCATTCATTGGCAAAACCCAAGGGATCATCTCACCCCAAACATCCAAAATCAAGGGTCCTCACCCATCATGCCATCCTTCTCGTTCCTGTCTCCCATCCGTGTGAGAAGATATTCCATAAGAGGTCTAGCGGGTGCGCAAATGCAATTGTGCCGTCAAAGTGCGGAGGCGGTGAGGCACTGTAGAGGTAGTCTAGGGGTAGCATCACTTGCAGCTGGCACCCTGAGCTGCCCGACATCTGGGAGTCTGGGGGAAGAGATGTGGAATGTGGTTGGGAATTGACGAAATGGTTTAGTAATGATGTTGCGAAAGAAAACTTCCTCCTAGAGGTTTGAAGAGTCACCATTATCATTCAACTCAGAATTGTCTCTTAAGAGCAGAGAGCCAAACAGAATCACAGGAAGCTAGCTCTCAGGCCATACCTGCATGGCACTGACGGTGAAAATCAGATCGAGTTCCAATGTCACGACATTGTCATTAACCATTGGCAAACACTTCATTTTCATGCCCGTAAAACTCCATAAAAAAAGTGAACCCGAAAACTATCAAATTTCTATTAACAAGACAAGGCAAGAAGGCGCCGATGACGGAGGTGGATGGCCCTGCCCATTTAAGACTGTGGTGTAACTTGTGATTACCAAGTAACGGCAAGAAAATCTGGGCTTTCCTGACATTGCAGATATTCTTCCGGTCTATTTTCAAGTTTCGTGGATCAAACTTCCTCACTTGGCCGGCCATTGCGTATCGCAATGGCACTGAATCAGGGGGTTAATTGTGTTAAGAGCGGTATTTTGTACGAAAACAACAATCATGTCATTAACCGCTGCTAATGCTTGCTTCTATTACACCATGACGCTTTGCCTGCTTTACTTCTTCTTTCTCATGTAAATGATTCCATGCTCTGCTTCCATATCCAACTTGACATGAGGAAACCATTATTAAGTTATTCCAGCCCCTTTTGTTTCTCACCACGTCGAACATTCCGCGCATCTTCCACTTGCTGCCTCATGCGTTCCTACCGCGCCGAGGCACCAGGAGCAGGCGTAGCAAAAGTCCTCGTGGTGAGCAACACGCCCTTGACACGTCTAATATTCTCCTTGGCCTTCTTGATCTCGTCGTTGGGCTCGCTCCTGTTGGTATACCCATACAACGAGAAGCCTCCGGTAAAGTCGTAGTGCTGCAGCGCCAGCTGCTCCAGCTCGCCGTGGAACACATCCACCGTCGTCCTGAGCTCGTCGAAGTCCTCGCACTCCGACGTCAACCCTTCGTTGATCTCCTTGACCGACGTCACCAGCTCCGCCAGCCGCCTCTGCTGCTTCTGCGTGTGGTTCATGTTCCGCTCGGAAATGGCTGACGCCGCGCGCGACTGGGCCCGCGAGTGCGCCTCGTAGATCTCCGACAGAGACCGGGCCGACATGGCCGTGCCCGGGCGCGAAGTGAGGGACATGGCCCGCACCGACGGCGTGGGCGGCGGCGACGTCTGGATGCCAACGTCCCGGTGGAACATCTCGGTCGGGTCCTCGTACGTGCTCATGTTGTCGTCATCGTCGTCGTCGTCGTAGGCGTCCTTGTAGCGGCCGGCTCGGCCGTCCGATGCCTTGTAACCCGGGGGAAGCTCCGACACGGTCTGCTCGAGCTTCTCGACTAGCCGGTCCAGGTTGTCCTTAATGTTGTCGTGGAAGTCGACGCGAGCCTCGGTGAGCTGGTTGACCATGGGCTCGACAACGTACTTGTTGGCGCCGTAAACGAGGGCAGCGATACCGCTGAAGGCGTAGACCGTGTTAAGGACGCCGTTCATGGTTATTAGCGGTGGCGCGCGGTGCGTCTCGGCCATGAATTCGGGGTAGGTGATGATGGGCACATGTTGTTCTTTTGTCTTGGGGAGGGTGGTTGTGGTTGTTATCGCAGCGGCCACCTTTGACGAAGCGGACGATGACGATTCGTTGGTGATGGGGATTTCTCTCAGCTGTAGATGTCTATGTTAGCAGCTTGTCTTTGGAAACACTGGGATACAGAGGTAACTTGCATCTGATTGCGCCCGAATCCAGTCCTCCTTAAGAAGTTCGTCGATGTCGCTCTGGGAGATGCCCTTGCTCCTCAAAAAGGCGGCCTTGCGCTCTGTCGTCTCCTTTTGCACCTGCGCATCCTGGAGGAATATCCTGGCTTGTTCGAGGGAGACCGACACTTTTGGTGCTTCTGGAGAGGTTTGAGCTGCGGGCTGGGATTCTGAGGATGTCGATGTTGACGGGGCCTGAGCCTGAGCCTGGGATGTGTTGTTGTCGGCTGTCGCTTTCTCCCACGCCAGGGTGTCGGCGGCCTTGGGTTCTTCGGAGTCGCCCATGGCGGTGGAGTCGAGATGACCGAATTCGATTCTTGTGACTGTGGGTACGAGGTCTGTGATGTTGCTCAAAGCAATCTGGACGGCTCGGCGAGGACTGGAAGACGGCGATGGATGAATGGACGGATATGGATTTGCGATGTTGATGGCTGGGCGGCTGGGAACTTTGGTCTATCAGCGCCTCCAGCCGTGGTTGTCGTCTCCTGTTACCGAGGCATGGGTGTCGCTATTGGGTGCAGTTGGTCTGAGCTTTTTCAGCTGGACTCCAGCGGTAGGCTCAGGGGTTGAATGCAGAGACCCACTTTACCCACACCCGGCAAAGGCCGAGCCCACTGACCATCCACTGGACCTGCGGCCAGGCGGGGACCGACGGGGACTGTGGGTGGAGACAGCCACCATCACGGTCGCGACTTGTCGACGTGAAGTCAGAAGCTGGAAACAGCCTTGAAGACGAGGCTGGATATTTCGAGATTGGAACATCACGATACTCTTTTCTTTTCCTATACTTTATAACTCTGTCTTGAACTCTGATACCCACCGTTGATTGAGTCTCCCGAACCCCACCGATTTTGCAATCCCTTCGATTCGACCTCCTCGCAGAGACGTTCTCACTCCGGCTTGACCTTTACGACTCCGCCAATCCTCTGTCACTTACTCTAGACCTAGACCCGCCAGTACCATCACGGCAGGTAGCGTTGCTACGTCTTTAGATAGGATACGCCAACAAAGGCGTTGCTGTCCCTTCCCGAAAAGTCAACCTTCTGGACAGAGAATCGCCACCCCCCTCGTCAACACTTGACTTCGGCAGGTAGTCAGCAGGGCCAACAGTTCGCAGGCCTTATTTCCGTCCATCCGACTCAGTCTTGGCCGTAACTCGCCTGCGTATCTTTGAATCTCATCGTAAGTGCAGTGAATCGTTTATACCCGCGACATGTTGCTTTTGGTACTGGTCTCTTTCGTATCGCTCATGGGGTTGGAAGCCGGGTCGAGGGAAGGTCGAGGACGAGGATGAGGATGAAAACGATATCGTGACTGGAAGGCATGGTCAGCACGGCAGTCAAAATTGGGGAGATATGAGGGTGCTTTATCAAAAACAAGCAAAGGGAAGATCCAAGAAACAATCGAGATGTCGCAAACGACACAATAAAGACTGTGTGGTTCCAACAAGGTTTCCCGACCTGTTTCCATCCAACGAGACGAGACTCTGGAGTCATCCTTGTGAAACCGACAGTCTGGTTCTGGTCCAATGTCAGGGCAACTCCGATGCGCCTTGCCCGCAAAACGGCAAAGGCTGGGGCTAAGGGGAAGCAAAGAAGAAGCGAGGCGACGTCAATATCCGTCTTAGTCGTGCTTGCTGCACAGTCATGTTGCATGGCAAGGCTTATCGACCCGAACGACAACGGCGGCACTATCCAACAACAACAACAACAACAACAACCCACAAACAGAAGGGAGGGGGCTTTGACCAGACGGGACCTCACTTCACCCCATGCAAGCAATACCCAACAACACTTGCCAAAAGACACAAACACCAAACCGCCAACTTTCACATTCCACCTCCTTCGCCAGCCAAACAGTCTTGACAGCTTCGCCTCTCTACCAAATCATCAAATCATAGCGACACAACCACCAAAGAACACACACCGTCGCATCGCCCCGGATCGCCAGCACCAGTCATTAGTCACCTAGCATCAGCTTGCCCAAACTCGCCTCATCTCGCCTCGACCTATCTCATTTGCTTGTGCCCCTACGGCCTCAGTCGATACTCTTTTCATACAACATCATCCTATCCCAAATATTTTACCTTCTAGATAGACCACACCTCCACACAAGCAGTCATGTCTTCACGTCCGCGCCGCTCGGCGGCCCAGCGTGCTACGGCTTTGATAACTGATCTAATTCATTCCGACAGAGTAACTCCCGAGCGCACCATGTCATCATCCCGATCAACCACTGCGCGCCGCCCGCCTTCGTCTCCAGCTAGCAGCAGGAGTGACGCCAACGGCCACAACATGTTGACCGTTAAGGTGCCGTCCAACAAGCTACGAGAGGCCACGAGCGGCAACTCCAGCTCCGGCATTGCGGCAAGCAGGCGTAACAGGCCAGGAGCCAAGAAGAGCTACGTTGTGGAGAGCAGCGAGGACGAGGACGAGGAGATGGAGGAGGAGGAAGATGATGAGGAAGTAGAAGAGGCGGATGAGATTGAAGTTAGTAACAACGCGCCCGTCTTGGATGACGACGAAGATGATGAGGAAGATGAGGAGGAAGAGGACGATGAGGACGAAGATATGGACGTTGATGAAGATGACGATGTCGACATGGACGATACACCTGCTCCACCTACTATCACTGTTTCCAAGGCCCAAGCGACGACATCACCCAACAAAGCAAAAGCGACAGCAAAGGCGCCTTCTAGCTCTCCGACGACGATCAAGGCCGCACCCAAGACAAATTACTACGATGACGACGACGACGATGACGAACTCAGCGAGCTTGAGAGCGAACCCGAGGATCCAGAACTGGAGGACATGGCTGCAGCCGAGGACGACGCGGAGGAAGCCGAGGAGGAAGAGGACGAAGACATGGATGCTGAGGGCGACGAGATTGAAGTCGCCGAAGATGACGCTGAAGCGGAGGAAGTCGAGCTGGATAGCGATGAGGAGGGCGGTAGTCGCGGCGGCACGCCGGATATCTCCAAGATGACGGCTCGTCAGCGAGCCAAGGTTGGCGTTGCGTCTCACGAGTACATGAAGCTCTCGGATGAAGTTCAGGCCAAGAAGGTATTCACGGCTGAGGAGTTGTCCATGAGGAGGGCCGAGATGGCTCGCCGTAGGAGGAACCTCAGTGAGAAGCGTAACGAGGAGGTGAAGGTATGCAACTTCTTGATTTTTCCTCATCGACGTGAACTGCACAGCTACTTACCACTCACCGCGCGATACAGATGGAAACGATCAACAAGCTTCTGAAGAAACAGGCGCCCAAGACCAACCGCAAAGCCGCGCTTCTGAACGGCGACGAGACTCCGGCAGGCGATGCCGGGCCGCCCAAGGCTGACCCCACCTTTGTCCGCTGGATCAACAACAAGTCCGGAAGCAGGATTGCTGTGCCCGAAGATATGTTGGCTGGTCCTGTCGGTCAGGTGTTTACTGGGGGAGTGAAGAGGAAGATGGTCGAGGAGGTTTCCTGAAATTATGCCTGGTGTGGCTAGAGTATAGTTCTGGGCTTATGTGCTGTCAGTTTGTATCATCAGAAGAGTGGCCGGGCGCTCGGTTTTGTTCATTGGGAGTCGGTACGGCAGGGAGAGTGACTACATTGGAGGTCGGCGAAAAGATTTTAGAATACATAGGTCGAAGACCATAGTTCTAGGTTACAGAATCAACAATGGTATTTCTCTCATCGGTCGCTGTGTGCTTCCACCTCAGCTGTCCACACAATTTTTTACGGTTAAGCTGTTTTCGAGCCTTGCATAACTCGAAGAATCAGCCGTTGCTTTCATCGGGGCATCCGTGCGTCAACAACCGGCGCTCGTTCTATCGTTTGTACACACCAGGATGCCATTCCATCGCCGAATTGTTTGGCTTCCAGAACTGATCGCTTCAACACCTCATAAGCAGCAAGCGGCCTTGGAGCGGCAACAACAGCATTCTCTCGTCGACGCAAGACATCTCTGAAAGTGTTCATACTTTGACAGACGGACTCTCCGGCTCCGGCTCTGGCAATCACCCAGACCACCAGCTTGGTATGTTCTTTTTTGTTTTATTCTTCGCTTCATTTCCCTTCTCCTCTCCGCCTCTGGTAATTCCAGTTCCATCAAGCTGGTGGACCAACACTTGGGATACCACCGGCCCATCTACGGCCCAGAATATCTTTGTGTCTGCCCCGCCCTGCCCCTACCGATACCACACAGCTGTTCTCCTCTCAGGCAATTCAAGTTGGGAATGGCCTCATCAATGCGTCGGCTGTTTGGCTGCGAGACAAGTGTTGTGGCTAGTGTGTGGCTAGTGTGTGGCTGGAGTGTGGCTGGAGTGTGGCTTGCGCGTCAGCAACAACGACAATCGAACGGTCTGCGGGTCCCGGCTAGTCCACACAAGAAATTCGAGCATCCAAACCCAAGCAACATGTATCACGGCCACTCGACTTTCACTTCTCCATCTTGCTCTTCCCCATGCTCTTTCAAACCTTCAGTCAATTAACGGGAATCGAAATGCGATTTCTCCCACTTTTTGTCTCGTTCCCCCTTGGGTTGCACTGGCCACCCGGCTAGTCTTCCATCCTCACTCTCCATCATGGTGTTTTGCCCTCTATTTTGTACACCTTGCTACTGTAAGTTGACAGCACTGCAGTACGATACCGTATCGCCATGCCTCGCCTCTGCTTCTTACCAACAGCGCATCGAACGTACAGATATGACTAATTGCTTTATCGCCAAAAGCATGCTCGTCCACACGGACCATGAAGTCTTTCTCCAAACTCTGTGCCACCTGGCCACAAGGCTCCGAGGGGGTCCAGCTTCTGCACCCGGGCAGCCCCGATGGTCGCCGTCTTTCTCATCGATGATACCGCGATAACATCTCTGGCGGTGAGCCACGCACGACCCAGATACTTCGATAAACGCTCTTAAACACACCCCCAAATATGCCTGACCCCCCCTTTGGTCTCCGGTCGGCGGGGGGAGCGAAGCCACCCGAGGCTGACTGAGCTCGAGCCAAACCTACCCTTCTCTCTCTTCGAGACCTTTCAGGCCATCTTGCCCCCCGAGAATACCTGACCCCCTCTGGTCTCCGATCGGCGGAGGAGCAAGCCACCTGACTGGGCTCGAGCCACAGCTTCCCTTCTCTAGGGACCTACAGGCCATCTTTCATCGCTTCAGGGCTTCCATGGCACTCTCGGGCAACTCCTAGCGCTTGAAGCCAGTACCCTTCACTGGACTGGTGGACAAACCTATGAGACCGTAACGGTATGTATCGCCAGACTAAACACATAGGACAGGTGTTAGCATGCTCACCAGTCTTAGCATGCTTTCCTAACAGTTCAGGGGCCACCGCCATCCCGCCAGCAAGGACCTCTCGCCGACTTTGGACCAAACCGACCCCGATTGCAACCGGACCGACGACAATGGTCTGGAAGTTCAAGACGCCCATCATCAGAGCCTCCTCGGTCAAGGCTCTGAGAGGCCAGAAAGGGACAATGGGTTACGCTCGAGAAACTGATGACCGATGTCATTTGACATTTTTTTTCTAAACATGTTACCTAACTTTCCCAAGTCGACCTTTGATCCATCTTCACTTTCTGACGATCTCTCTAGTGCTTTACGGGTTCCCTCATCGTTTACCGATCTCGGCGGAGAGAACACCTCGTCCCACACAACCGCCCTCGACGGTCGGGAGCGCATAACGCCAGCCAGCGAAGACCATCGGTGATATCTCGACTTCAAAACATCCCAACCGACGAGAGATTGCTGCAGATGATAAGAAAGGGCTTTTCCATAACCCGGCACTGACCACGTCCGTCTTTGACTGCTTTGCGAACACTCACGATGAGCTACGACCCTACGACAGCCAGCTACAAACATCTTCGGCATGTCCTTCAGCCAGCGTCCGCCAGCTGGAGATCTGGCCCTCGACATACCGCCGACGGCCCGTCATCCCTCGACTCTCCCTAACCCTCACCAACCCACGCAAAATGGGGCACGTGGGGGAGCCACATCCGATCATCGACAGTGGAGCACAGAAGCGTTGCCCTGCAAAGATTATCGACGAAAGAACAACCTCAACAACTCGCCAGCAACGCAAAGAAGGCTTAACAAACTGAGAACACTCCCTCTGTCCTTGGACCATCGCGGCGACCACGGTCATCTTTTATCTGCTCTAAACAAGCACAACAAACATACGAACAAGGGTTTCGGGCTTCAAGACCGTTCCGGCACGACGTCAGGTAGCATCTGCCTACAGGGGAACCGCACCTATTGGCATGTCGCGGACGCTCGAGATTCGTTGCTCCCTAACAGCCTACGACGATCTCTACAACATAAACAATCATGACCGAGGCGCTTTGGGGAGCGGTTCTTTTGCGTCGTATGGGAGACCGCTCAGGGACCTCTCCGCTAGTCTAGAACTCGCCTTTTCTCAGGGAAAGAAGCTTTCCCGGACGCCTGCTCACGATCAGTAAGTTAATGCTGTGCAGTGGAAGTGAAGGAGGATGCGGATGACCTGTGTCCAGGGTCCTGCCGTCCCATGGCTGCGGTCTCTTCTGAGAGATATGATTGCTTCGACTACGGGATTGACTGTTGATTCTAGCTCAATATGTTTTGCTCTTGATGTCTTCATAGGCTGCTATCACCCGAAGCAAGACCTTGTAGTTTAGAACCGGTGCATCCCAGGATTAAAGGTAGAATAAGACAAGATGTTCTTGCGACGAGAAAGCATGCCCAGCTGTCATGCTGACAGACTGCTGGACGGGCGGCTGCGAGGTAACTTCGCTCACAGTCTCATGTAGATCTTTGCCCCTGAATGTGAAAAACAACGTCAGGTCGTGACTAAAAAAATCCGACACTCGCGAGTATCACCACCATTGTCGGCGAAAATGGTCCAAAAATGTGGTTTTCGAATTCAGCTCCTCTGGCAGTCTTTCATTCCGCTTTTTAAATGCCAAACCCGGTGTTTGCTGCTCGGGGATGCTGCACAAAGCAGTTCTCAGGGGTTTCTCGATGGTGCAAAAAGGTGACCGCACGCCGACCATAGTAACCCAACGCAACACCACAAAATATCGCCGCAGGTCAAGATTTGACAGGTGCTCGTGCTAACGGCTATCCTCAGCGCTGATATCGTTTTTTTCTGCGTTATCGCGGTCGAGAGCTTCGTCGTCGCGGTCGGGAAGTCGGTCGCGCAAGTGTCGTTGAATGATGTGGGTCGTGGTTTTGGCGGCGGCGAGGTCGGGTCACAACTCGCACTTGCCTCGACGTCGGTGTAGGTGACGGCAACCGCTGGAGACACGGGCAGCTGTGTTTTCGGTTTTTGAAAGTGACCTGGAAAGTTGGACCTACGCTCAAATGTTCTTGTGCATACCAACAACACCCTGCGGACTGGTGGTGATGTGTGCTTATCGATAACGAATTATTTGTAGGCTACAATTTATGCGCAGCATTTCCACGATCGTTTTCCTCTCCAGTTGTACATCTCACTGTTTTCACATTTTAGTTTTTTTTTGCTTGGCAGATCTTCTTGGAGGTAAGAACAGACATCCATCGCCCGATGGTCGGTTCCTTGTTCCCAACATGCCACAAAGATTCAGCAAATGGCAGCAACTTCCACCATCGATGCAAAGAAACAAAAAGGGGGGGGAGGGGGGGGACATCAAACCAAGCCACTACATTGATTCCTGGTGATCTAAGCCTCATGGATGCGGTTTCCCTGTTGACATGCTGCACCATAGTTCGTGAAAAAAAAGACGTTGCATACGAATCGACGCCGACGACATGATCATACGCGTCCCCGGGACCTTTCAAACTTTCGTCCGCCATCTCTTACGTTTGGTACGGCCAGGTACCGTAATCCAGCCACCGTAATCACCACCGTGGCCAACCAAATCTCTTTGCTTAACCCCGAAAAGGCAGTTTGGGAGTAAATTACCGTCTGTAGTATGTTCTGATAGTGGGTCTCGTGGCTGTCCAGGTCCGATGGAGTGACCCTCCTCCCCGTGCCCGCCCTTGAAGCATCCTACGACACTACCAGCAGCTTGTCAACAACGCTCAACATCGAAAAGCTCACGGATGATGGTTTCAGGTGCGCGCTTGATGCAGAAAACCTGTAGTAAACTCGGTTTCTTGTGCCGGTAGCTTCTTGCCCGTGCTGATGTGTCGACCCAGCCTGCGGTTTCCCATCTCTAGACCCCCCAATACGTGTAGAGTAGCTCATTCCCTATTGTTTTAGGGGAGATGAGGACCTCCAAAGTAGCTTAACGAAGTTCAGCCACGCCTTCGCCTAAAACCTTAACACTTTCACATAGCCTACTGCCCGTCCCAGTGGTAGGCCCTGATCCCCAACCCCCTTAACACCTCGCCGTCGCTCGATGGCAAGCCCCAATGCCTTATCGCAACCCCCTTTCGTGCATGTACAACTGCCTCACCAGCCTCACCGTCGCCAGCCGTCTCGACGGCTTTCAGATAGGACCGGGCATACATCCGCAGCCTCCTTATCCTGCTGCTTTCACCCAAATTACGTGCTCGTCACCGACGCACCTCATCAAGACATTCCAAGTTCCGCATCATCAGATGGAAACCAAAAGAATTGGTGTTTTGCTCATACCTGCTATCTGCCCTAACAATGAACACATTCGGAGCCATCCCAGCACCACACAAACCCCCTTTCTTCCATCAAAGTGCCATGATATCCATCTCCCACTCGTAGGCTTCCTTTTCTCTAACTTCTTGCATGTTGTTTCCTCGCGAGAAGCATGATATCTCGTGCTTTCCTGCCGACCGAGCTGATAAGAGGTCCAACCAAGCCCCCTTCCGCATTATCACGAAGCCTTCGGACCTACCTTACAAGCCTCGTCACCTCTTGCATTTGCCTCTATCTACAACTTGTTTTCTCTGCGTAGAGCCTACATATTTCCGATCTCGACATGAGGGCTTCGTAGTCCTTGATCTTGTTAGCTGGCAACATGTGATTGCTAGGAGGTGTATTTATTCTCGCCCATTCCCGAAAGTTGCTGGTCTTTTTTTCTCCCTTCTTCTCCATCCAGCTTCGAACTTGGGTTTCAAAGGCTTCAATTTGTTACTTAATATTTTTTCAAGAACATACGCTACCTCTACCAACTCCTTTGCTTGTTCAGCTTTGATCTATTATCATCAAGCTCATTGTCTCTGACATTCATCACCAACCTCATCGTCGTCTTCGCTCTCAGAATATCGAGCTACCTACGTCGAACCAACGAACACGACCCTTCAGCCATGAAACAACAACCCCTTTCGTGTTGCCAAGCATCACCAAGCTCCTACCATCGTCGTTCATCAGACATTACTTGTCTTTGGTCTCGGAACATCGAACCATCTGCCTCGACTTACCTACATCGAGCTATCCACATCGACCTATCTATATTGACCTACCTACATTGACCTACCTACATCGACCTATTTATTATACGTCGACCTATCTACGTCGAACCAACAAACACGACTCTTACCATCACAATACGACAACCCCTTTTGGGGTCTCAAGCTTTCGCTTCGGTCATCGGTCATCGGTCGACATCGAACAAATAAAACAACCTTTCACTCACGAAACAGCCAATTTCGTGTTGTCAAGCTTTTGTCTCGGTCTTCGATCCTCGGTCATCGGTCGTCGGTCGTCAATAGTTACCAGTCTATATTTCCACATAGCAGGTAAGCAAGAACGTGGACTTCACCATTCACTGTGATAGCTTCAATCTTTGAAACCTTTTTATTGCCGGCCATTAAGGTCATATGCTTATTGTTACTGCTTTTGTCTGTTATTGTCCCGTGTTTTTGCACCTGTAACCTTGGGGATCCACTCAGGTTTGCACAACTTGAGTGAATGCCAGTTTAATGCCACTCATTGCCATCATTGCTTTCGTCGTGTGCTTTGCGTCTTTGCTCCCTTTGCTCTGTCTCCTGTCGAGTCGACTCGAGCCGATTGGTTCTCTCGCAACACCCATCCCCTATTTCCACCCGGATGACTGCCCGGTTATCGTTTGTTGTCTGCACTCGGATGATACACCACCCCCTTATTCGACGGCAACGACGACGACGACAACGGCATGCGTGTTGTTGATCAACTCGAAGTCCTGATCGGCAGTTGCTTCATCAACACCGCCGCCGCCGTTATCCTTACCCCTTGAGCTTGCCTTCGTCGTTGGTTTTTCCCTTCTTCTTCTTCTTCTGGTGATTAGTTTTCCTTTGCCCTTCTCTTTATCTCTGCTAGGACCGACACCTCGCTTTCTGTGGCCATTTCTGGTTGCTAACGCTTGGTTTATCTTCTTTACAGATCTGGAGAATCATCATCATCATGTCTTCGCCTTCATACGATTGGCAAGAAGAGGCTTATACTGAATGGCTCGCTCTTCAACAAGACTCCGTACGGAATGTCGCGGAGAGAGAGGCGAACTTAACGCCGGAGAAGAAGGCCCAATTAGACGCAGAGACTGCCGCGTGGTTAGCAGATAGGGATGCGGCCGACGAGGCGAAGAAGACACCCAAAGCCCCCAAGAAAGAGGTCAGCCGGAAGAGAAAGAGATCCACCGATGATCCGGTAGATGAAGGAGGACAGGAGACGAATAGTTCCTCCAATACTTCGGCGGACGCTCCTCCTCCACCGAAGCGAGGCCGGGGAAGGCCGAAAGGCAGCCGAAGCAAGCCGAAGCCCGAACAACAGCAAGCGCTGGCTGAAGCACAACAACAGCCGTCGCCGCCTCGAGAGCCTTCGCCGGTCGACCAGCAGGGTAACGTCAATGGCCCCACGGGCTCCTCACTTTCTCCTATTTTGATTCCTTCCAGTCCATCACCTCCACAGGAGAGAGGACCGTTCATGGCCGGAAGCGAGGAAAACGCGGAAGATAAGAACCCGGACGACGAGTTTGACGAGGAGAAGTTACTAGAGCAGTTTGACAGCCTTGAGGATGAGGATGACCTTTTCGGAGACCACTATCTTGCTGCCCCTCCCCAGGAGAAAGCGTCGGTGGCCTCCGCCCAAGTTCGAGCTCAGAACGAGGCGATGCCTGGAAGCGAGGAAAACGCGGAGGAAGAGGACCCTGACGACGACCAGTTAGTCGATGATTCCATGAGCATTGAGGATGAGGACGACCTGTTCGGTGACATATTTGTGGAAAACAATACCACCACTCAAGTCCAGCACGATTCCCCAAAAGCTGCCACTTCTTACACTTCGGCGGCTGTCTTTGCAACTCCCTCCACGACCGCCAGCTCCGCTGCTTCTGGACCTAGTACGACCACCACCTCAATTTTCGTTTCTGGTTCTGGCTCCGGCTCCGGTTCCGCCTCTAATGCGGCTGCGACTGCCGCTCCTGCCCCCTCGGTGGCCACTTCCGAGGCAGAGATAGAGGCAGAAATATGGGCTCTCATAGATTCAAATCTGGAGGGCATCCAAGAGGCACCGGAGCTGGCGGTTCCGGGACCTGCCCTTGGAGTTGAATTTAGAGCTGCCTGGTCCGGTGCTTCTGGCGCTACTAGCTCTGCTGCTTCTAGTATTTCGAGTACCTCAACTATCGTTTCTGGTTCTGGCTCTGGCTTCGTTGCCGCTCCCACTACTTTGGCGGCCGCTTACGGAACCGCCAGCTCCATTGCCCCTAGAACTGCATCTAGAACTACCTTTGGAGCTGCCCCTAGCTTTGCCAATTCTGCTGTTCCTGGTACTGCCAGTCGTGCCACTCCAACTCCTGTAGCGGGTAGAGCTCAGCCAGGGGTCCAAGCGATGAACGGATACCGAGGTCAGCGTCATTTGACTGTTGCTGGCGCAGGAATGGGCCTCGGCGATAGCGGACAGATGATTCGGCAGCAACAGATGATTCGGCAGCAACAGATGCTTCGGCAGCAACAGATGCTTCGGCAGCAACAGATGCTTCGGCAGCAACAGATGATTCGGCAGCAACAGATAGCTCCAGCTGTGCAGAAAATGGCTTCAATGTCATCTGGTGCCTCAGCTGTTGTTTCTGGTTCCGGCTCTGGTGCTGTCTTTGGCGCGGCTTCGGCTACTGCTCCTTCCAGCGTTACTTTGAGTGCTAGAGGTAATATCGCTTTCACGGGCGGTGTCGCCGCCTTGTATAAAAACGCCTCCGCGGCCCAGCCAAGAGCTTCACAGCCGCCGTCGCACCCGCCATCGGTTTTGCCGGCCGGCCGACCACAACAGGCTATCGGGCACAGAAACCCCTCGCCTCATTCTCCTTTTCTTCCTCCTCCTCCTCATTGTCCAGGAGCAGCATTGGTGGGCCTCCCTCGGGTGCAGCAACCACAGATCTACCAGCAGGTCCAACGACCACAGATATACCAGCAGGTTCAACTACCACAGACCCGTCAGCAGGTTCAACCTGTACAGATATATCAGGAGGCCAAGCCTCCACAGACCATCATCAACCTTGAAGACCCGACGCCCCCTTCCATTCCTCCTCAAACCCTCCCCCCACACGTCCGACGTCAGCCCTCACACCACGAACGAGCTCGTGATGACGAGAAACAAATCGGGCGTGATCCTTTCCCCGATATGCTATGTCTCTGGGGACCTGGGTGCGGGTCGTGCTAGCAGTGCGAACTGAACGCTCATGTGGCGGAGGTGGAAAAGCGATAACGAAAAGGGGCTCGTTTCTATAGTGGTAACGGAAGAGGAGAAACGGAAACCGGGGCAGCCAAGAAATACTGGACGGGAGTGCCGGTAAATGGAAGCACAGTGAATGCCCCTGGGCGCCAAGGCACGGCTGGCCAACATTATACACAGTAGGTAGTCTCCCGGAGGAGTACCGATCTGGGCTTTAAGGTCTCTCGAGGGGTTTTTTAAAGGTGGAAGAAGCACAGGGCCATGGTCATATCTCGTATCCCGTCATGATAGGGAGCCAATAAGAGGCTATAGAGGGACAAAGATGGTTGACGGAGTAGATTATCTCTCATCTTTTGATGTCACCATTAGCGAAATAGCGATTATTCCGATAGCATATCTTTTTCTTCAAGTAAAGAGTAAAATCCCAAGATTGAGTTCTTGTTAGTCCAAAAATGCCCGTGCGGCCACTACCTTCCATTTGAGCCGCCGATGTGTGCAAGTTTGGTATCATGCCGCTCTTCGGGTCGACCTTCGGCTTCAACCTCTCACCTCAACATCACCACTCGATCACTTCTCAACACCACCTCACCTTCAACTCACTTTGGCCTCAACATCGTTTCCATCACCGACTTTGCCGCAGGCTCCACGCAAAATTTCTGCACAGGGCACACAGAAATTTTTTCTATTTAAACCCGGCCCCCGACCCCTCCTCTCTTCTCCCAGACTTCTTCCTCGCTTCATCCATCACCGCTTCGACCCAACCTCGACCACCACCAACCATCTCAACTTTTCCACCCACTCAATCGCCTTTTCAAATCCCGATTGATTCCTACAACTCTTCCCACTACCTTTCCAACTTTCTCTCCATTCTCCTTCCCAACTTCCTCGTCGCATTTTCTCCTTCAACTCGCCACCTCTCGCGACACCGCGCAACACTCTCACAATGCAACAGCATCCGCAGCAATTCCAGCACGGCCAATCGCGCCAGCAAGGTCAAGTCCCTCAGCAGCAATTTGGAGGTCCTCAACCTCAGAATCTGTTCATGCAGCCTGGCAACTACCAGATGCCTTCGCCAATCCATCACCAGCAGGCCCCGCATCGCGGACAGCGTCGGGTTTTTGCGCAATCCTTCCAGGAGAGCGATCTCCCTCAGCAGTACTTCGGACAGTCGCAGTCTCCTCAGCAGCATGCCCAAGTCTTCCAGCATCCCCAGCAGGCTATGTATCCCCAAGAGGCGCAACAGAACTGGCAGCAGGGCGCCACTCAGCCTGGCGTCACCAACGAGTCCTTCAACTTCAACTTCAATCAGCAGCAGTTGAGTCCCCATGGCAACTAGGAGAATGCCATGGGAACTTCAAACACCCCGCTGAGCGACTTGAACCTCGAGAACTTTGAGATTGACCAATCTTTGATGTTGGCTGCCAATGACGGCTTCGGCCTCGACAACTTTGGCCATCTCCAGGGTCAGCAGCAGCAGCAGAACGTCATCTCTCAGAATGCATTCACCTGGCCAACTGAGAACTTCGTCCATGATCAGGCGTCGCAGGTTGCCAATCATAGCCGTAACAATTCGTCAGTGTCTTTGACTCCGCCTGCCAACAATTCGTATGGTCTTTTCAACACCACTCCTGCCGCGGCTTCGCACAACTCCTTCAGCAACACTCCCGCGGACAACTCGCACAACTCCTTCAGCAACACTCCCGCGGACAACTCGCACAACTCTTTCACCAACAATCCCACCGAGAACTTCGTCCATGATCAGGCGTCGCAAATTACCAATCATAGCCGTGCCAATTCGTCAGTGTCTTTGACTCCTTCGCCTGCCGATAATTCGTATGGTGTCTTCAACAACAGTCCCGCCCAGAATGCGCATACCTCTTTCACCACCACTCCCGTCGCGGATTCGCTCAACACTTCCAACAACTCTCCCGCTGGCAACTCGCCCAACTCTTCCAACACCTCTCCCGCTGCGACTTCGCACAACTCTTTCACCAACAATCCCGTCGAGAGTTCGCAGAACTCTTTCAACAACTCTCCCGCTGGCAATTCACCCAACACTTTCAACAACTCTCCTGCCCAGAACTTCTCAGCTGGCTGGGGAGTCGAAGTCGGCAACAACAGCTTCGGTGACTTGTCGGCATCTTTCTCTCCTGCGAGCGAGAATCATCAGAACTTCGTTGATCTCACGGGCGACAACGTTTCCTTTGGTCAAGGATCGCAAGTTGCCAACTATGGCCAGATCGACCCCTTCGCATCATTTGCCTCGCCGGCTGAGAATTCCCAGCAGCAGGCTTTCAACACCGCACCAGAGAGCCAACACAATGCTCACGAACATCAAGCCTTTGCCAACGCAGCGGGTGCCCAATCTTTCCAGCAGTCCGGCTCTCCTCATATCCCCAACACCCCATCACCTTCTCAACAGTCTCCCGCTCCCACGCCCAAGAAGTCGGCCAAGAAAAGGGCATCTTTGCCAAAGAGCCCTGCCGCAAAGCGCCCTGCGAAGAGAGCTAGAAAGAACAAGGCTCCCGCCAACAACGAGCAGCTTGCTGACTCTGTGGCTGTCGACAATGGTCACCTGCTGGAAGACGAAGCTGCCACCGCCGATGTCGACACCAATGAGTATCTCTTGGGAGCTGAGCTCAATCCCCAGGAGTATGTGTATAACCTCGATGCCCCCCTCCGCACTTTTAGCGATTCGATCCCCCGGAATGTCCCTGTAAACGGAAATGCGCCTGCTCCTGCCACCAATGCGATCTCCCAAGATGTTCCCGTAGACGGAAATGCGCCTCCTCCTGCTAACAATTCCATCGAGAACGACCCTTTTGTTGCGCCTCCTCCTGCCAGCAATGGCATCGAGAACGACCCTCTTGTCATATTCCTCAATGAGGAAAATGCGAGACTCAATGCCATGAAACAAGCCAACCAGGTTAGCATCGCAATTCCCAATATTCTCGATAGGTTGACTGACACAGAACAGCAGGCTCAACTGAACAACGTGGCGAACATTGAGCCCAACAGCCCTCCCAAAAAGCGTAAGCGCGGCAACTCGACTCGCACGCCAAACGTCGGCGATGCCCCCGCCAAGAAGAGAAAAGTGCCGAAGAAGGCCAAGGCCAAGGGCAGATTGTCCAAGTCGGCTTCCTCGGCCAAGTTCGGTCTCGGCAAAGGCGCGGGCACCGGTCTCAACTCCCCTAGGACCATGTACGTTTTTGAGGATCGCGCCTTCTACCTGATTCCTGCCCAGATCATGCCTGATTTCCTCGAGTTTGTTTCGACGCCCAGAGAGATTCCAGTCCCGCAGCAGTCCTTCGACGCGCAGCAGTTTTCCATTGAGCAACAACAACAACAGTCTTTCGCTCAGCAACAGCCCGCTCCTGTTCAGCAACAAGATCCCTTCCAACAGCAGGCCGCCATTGAGCAGCCAGCTCCAGTTCAAGAGCAGTTTGAGCCTGCCTACGACATCGATGGACGACTCCTCACCCTGCTCGAAGACGACGAAGTCAACGAGCAAAACAACGATGACGACCCTTACGCCCCGGCTCCCCGCCGCCCTGTTCCCCTCAGTGAAGCCGCCATCGCCTTTGGCCTCACTAGCCTCTCGACCGAGCATAGCCCGTCGTCCTCTCTCAACCCATCGCCTTCTGTTCACACCCCACCAGCCGCCTCTTTTCCCCCTGGCCCCGCCCAGCCTTCATTTGCCTCATCGCCTGCGGCCAGCAGCAGCAATGGCACCAATACCGGCAATGCCAGCAGCGACATCGTCATCAATCCCATCCCCGAATCCAGCCCTCGTTTCATTCCTAACAACCGTGAGATCATCGCGCGATTCAATTTGACCCCGACAGGCAGCGGCACTGAGCGCGACGCTAGCCACCTGGAGTACTTCATCAACCTGGTTCACAGCAGTGGCCTGTTCGCCTGCGGCCACCACGACGAGATCCCCGGCGGTTTCCGCTGGGAGAGTTGGAAGACTGCTGAGGAGAACTTGTTGGCGCTGCGTCCGTTCTTTGGTACTTTGACCACCAAGGCTTGGTTCGACCAGTGGAAGAAGGGTGAGAATCCGGTCCAGTTGGCCGAGATGGAGGATGAGTAGATGGAGGTTGAGGAGTGAACAATTTCTGTGATGGGAATTGGAAGAAGAGTGGAAGAAAAGTGTTTCCGCTAGTCAGGCGCAACAAAGATTGGTGTCTGAAAGGCTTCAACGTCCAACATCCAACGACATTCACCAACAAACAGTTTGGTGAAAGGCGAACGATTTGGTCTTATGTATCGGCCATTCAAGACATCGGCACGCAGCCAGTTGACAACAGATCAACAAACAAACAAAACAAAGTCGGCAAACAGATCGACAAACAGCAAAGCAGCCACGATTACAGTTACTGCTACGGTTACGGTTTCCTTTTTTCCCATTTCATTACTTGCTTTCATCAAACTCACCATGTTCGGCGCTGCTGTTGAATACAACAACAGCATACACAAAGATTCATGGCAACAAGACCTTTACATTATCAGTGTGTGGTCAGTCACTTTGGTTCAGACAGGACAGGTTTTTACATATTTCGGATTTGGCACTTGGCACTTGGAAGGAGGGATGATGATTCATGATACCCAGAGATACCCATGATGCATTTTCAGGCGCTTTCCTTTTTCTTTTCTTCTTTGGCAGGTCACGGATAAACAGGTTACAACGGTTATGAAGGTTATGAGGTTACGATTTTACGAGGTTTATGATCATACGAAGATATGATACATGACAGATGGTTCTTTCACATGGAACATGGCACTTAGAAATTCGCTAGGTGCTCTTCTCAAGCATCAACTCCCTTAAGTTGGAGTCGTTTATGGATGCGCGAGAGAGTAGGGTAGGAAAGCCCTCAGCGGATTAGAGAGATCATGGATACGGTTCGGAAATAGCTATTACTTGACGAAAATCATCCAAATTGCACATATAAGCAGCTTCGTGGCGTGACATGTGTGTGTGCTTGAATTGTTCATCTTCGAGTACACTATTCAGCGAGACTTGCTCCAGCCGTAGCCATTTGGGAACATGTGTCTCTCAACATTTCGATGACTATCTTCCTGCTCGTACTGTCTGCCCATCACCATTCCATATCTCTACCCTCCTCCTCCTCTTCCCAATGCCTCTAGTAGACATGGTTCCGTTCTCATACCTGCTCTTGTCGTCTCGATTCCAATCCCAACTCTTAACCCGCATTTCTTTCCATGGCCTTAACAATATCCTTGACATTCAAGCTTCCCTTGCTCTTCTTACTCCTTGATTTTGTTTGCTACCTACGGTTTTCTGTTAGATCATGCTTTACCATTTTGTCCATGTGAGCCAGAATTACGCTTGTGGGGAAGATTGCCTGGGATATTTTGTTCACGTCAAACCGAAGAAGGAGAAGAAGGCCGACAATTGCAGATCCCAAACCACTTGTCTCGAGAAAACGAGATGTACTCTGGCATCTTCTGGGAGATAGTTTGACCATGCGTTTTTCACTACATAAAACAGGCAGATAGTCAGTGTTGCGGACGCCATGAAACCCAACAAATACACTCACCAACAGTTGCCCACACCCAACTGCAACGCCCAAATTCTCGCCGCGCCCCGACTGTTTTTCTACTCCTTCCCCTCTCCTCGCAGATGACTACTCCAGGTCCTAACGGCTCTCAAAGTGAGAGCCTCCATCCAGCTACATCATCCTCACTGTCTCAACCCCCCTCATCCCCTCGTTCCCTTCTCCACTCCCAACCCAAGCCACCAACCCCCCTCCCACCCCGAACCACCAGGAGCAAATCCGTCCCTCAAATATCACCTTCGAAAAAGACGGCACCAGCCGCCACCACGACCACGACCACGAAGCCAGCTTTCTCCGAAATCTCCTCACTCTACCAATACACCTGGGATCGCATCGACGACCTCAAGATCATCACGGGCGCCCTCTGCGAGCGACTGATTGCGCTAGAAGACACCGTAGCCACACTGGACGAAGACGACAATATGGAAATTTTCACGAGGAAGGCGTTCGACATGGCGACGGAGGGGCAGCTCATAGCAATGATTGCGGAGCAGTTTAAGGAGACTGGGACGAAAATAGCGGATAGAGGGACGGATGTGGGTTTGGGAAAGTGTGATGGGAAGGGGGATGGGAATAAAAGGGGGCTGGGGAGTGAAAATGGGGATAGGAATGGGAGCAGGGAGGGGAGTTGGGATGGGAATGGTAAGACCAGAATGAAGGGAAGGAAGAAGCAGAGGGCCACAGTCAGTGATCCAGAAACGGTCAGTGATCCGGACACAGACAGTGACCCAGACTTGTAATCTCTGCAAGCACCGAGTCCCTGGAGGCGGAGATAGACGGAAAGGAATGCCAAGACTATTGCAGTCATGTCATTAGGAAAGATAGAGAGGAGTGTTCGTGGGGGGAACTGGCTGTGGGGGAAGTGTCTGGATCCATTGGGGAAGCAAGGAAACACAAGAGACTGAGTACTGTACCTGCAATACAAACATGACGATGAAGGTCGTCTCCTCATAATTACCGGTTCAATGCAGCGAGTATGTACAGTTAGTTATCCTTCGTGGGCGCCAGATATCCAGTCTTGCTCCAGCCAGAACTGGCCAGACCAAGTCTTCCAGACAGGACACTCGTAATTTTTTGCCCAATTACCCCACGGGATAGACGACCAAATGTCGAATTTACGCGCCAAATGCACCAATGAAGAAGCACCAGCGGTTAAGGGATCCTGTAGGGATTTCAGAGGTCCTCCAAGGCCATCGCAAGATGGGAGCCGCGTCGAATCGGAAAGTGTAACGACGCTCGTTGGAGCAACATATGACCCCATCGATATTGTACTTGTGGCAAAAGGCAATGCGGCCCGGGCCGCGGTAGGTCATCGCCATGCACAGTTTCGGAAAGGTACCTGAGTGCGACTCGTAGGTCGGCCCATGGTACCGCATGGGTGTAAGAACTTCTTCCAGTGGGCGCGCTCGGCGAGTATAATTTTGGTCAAAAGCATGAAACCACCACCATGCATCAAGATCAATCGTATCCGCAGGGTGATCTGATGGTTGTGTATTTCGTAAGTGGCCGAAGGAAGACTATGGTCGTGTTATTTTGGTGGAATTCGGGAGTGTCATGTTCCAGCCTGGTCCGACAAGGCTTTGTTTACTTCAGTCAGGGGTACACAATGGGCTTGCTTTTCTTGGCCCGAACACCTGAAGATCTTGCTGATCCCCCCTTGTCTACCTGCCAAGAGCCATCAAGGTGCATCGACGTATTTTAGATCCATCGTAGTCGTAAGGCGGATGCTCCGAAACGCTTGTCGTCGGTTGGATGGATGTTGGTCTTGTGATCGTATGGTTGTCCAGATCAGGAAAGCGGATGGGCCGAGCACACCCGACGACCCGATTACATCCGCGGGTATACCGCAGATAGAATCCTAACAAGACCAACAGTTGACCTTGCTGAACCAGCCTTTTCTTGAACGGTGTCATATTGTAACGATAGTCATGGATTCATGTTGACCGGATCGTGGTTTCGGGAACTGTCCACGGCTCGAGTGGTTGTATAGATCTGCTCACCACATCCGATATTGTTAGCCGACGGTCATGAACGTGTAAGTGATAGGGTATCAGTAGCCTCGTAGCCGCGTCCTAACAGCCAATGTTTTGTGACGTCAAGTGAGGGTCTGGACGGTGACCAGGAGGACCCTTCTTTTGGACAGCTGCAGCTACTTGACAGCTTGGAATCCGGGGAGCATGAAGGCCAATGCCGGAAGCAGGCGGCTTTGTCCATCGAACAAGCTGGCAGCATTCCTCCGGACCGTTCCGGTGAATGGGGCCCGACGATAACGGTGTTGCCGAAGGGCCAGGGTTTTGCCAGGGTTATAGGTGCATTTTGGGCGGCTTTGGGTCAGTTTTGGCCAGGGGTTTTGAATCGTGTCTCGAACTGTCAAGGATAGCTCCTCATCTACCCCGCGAAAAGATGTCAAGACGATCCCGCCTTGCCCACAATATCAAAGTTAAAGTTGCGGTAAGTTCGGGCAATGACGGTGTTGGTTCCTTTTTACCCCCTTTTCCCCAGATCCACTGTGGTTCGCGTTCCATCGAGGACGTTGTCTAGCAAGGCACAAGCTGGGATAGGGGAGTGTTTTGTTGATGTTGGATTATCGTGGCCGACCAGCCAACCAGCAGCACCGGCCGACAAGATGCCAAGCAGGACGAATTGAAGGATTGGGTATCATGTGTGGCTGCTGTTGATATCGAGTCTTTTTTTCTAGCTGTGGCTTCACTTGTGGCGCAGGCAGAAACAGCAGGGAAGAGCTTCAAGTCTTCTCTCAAAGCTCAAGTGGAGCCGAGAAGAGCTGCCGAACGGGAGCTATGGCCATGCAATCCACTTGGGAGCAAGATCATGACGAATTATTCAGTCATCAAAGATAGAGAGCTTCGATCGTTTTGGTCCAAGAGTACACAAGAAACGAAGCGAATGGATTGACAAATTTGAGAGGATAGAGGGAGCCAACAAATGTCTTGAAACTGACAGCGTGGGTGACAGTCGCCGCGACAGAGAGGATGCAGACTGCAGCTCCGCTTGGGCTGGGGGTCTCGGCGAGAGGGGGACGGATGGGGAAACGGCGAAAATGGAAGACAGTCACCGTCGTCGGTCTTGAGCCGAATGCCTCCAAACTTTCCCGTGGGCCGTAGCCCATCTTGTTCCTTACCGACTGTCTTGGTTTCCATATTCCGCTCCGTACCTTGGCGGATACCCCGTGTCAGCTGAGCAGGTCCTTGTTAGTTGGATACATGCGTTGTTGCCATTGTTGTTTTTTTATGTTGATGCTGGTGATGATGGTGTTGACAGTCAGTCTGGGACAGAGGACGGAGGACGGCATGCAACGCGATGCGTGAGCGATTTCGAGCTGTCAAGACTATCAATAGCTTGATAAGAGCCAAGCAGTCCAGACGGAAAGAACCAGCCTGATCCCCGTTGCCGATTTCCCCTACCAGCAAACAAAGGCCCGATGAGAAAAGATGTTCTCTGGGAATTTTGGCGCCTGGCCCGTTAGCCTGGTACGAGACCGGCGTCGCGGCCCCCGGTGACGGAGTGTCTGTTTTTTTGGGCAAGGCCTGGGCTCGCAGTTGGAGCAGTCAGAAATGTCAGCATCGACATCTTCAAGTATTACAAAGACTGAACCCGTGAAGCACACAACGTGATCGCAATCCACGGATTCTCCGGAAGGACCTGTCACGTTGCTACTCGGCGGCGTCAAAGAAGGATGGGCATCTCTTCAAGCCAAGGGCGCGGCCGAGTACGGCGTACCCTTTTGTGCAAGGGTGGAGAGTGAGGTACTGCGCTAACACCACGCGCCAAGCCATTGGAGAGTCACCCCACTTCATCCCACCATGTCCCACCACAGCCCACCACAGCCCACCATACAGCGGTGATGATGCAACCGCGATGGGAGGCGGCTGGTGGGATGGAAGGAACGAGCAGAAACCACCCAACAAAATTATGTCGCTCATGCCACCACGGTGACATTGGCAGGCATGGGAAGCGTTCCTCTTGGCGCAGGGATGATGAGGATCTCCTCTTTTGCCCCTCCTTGCCGACCGGGGATTACATACTAATAACCAGACTGGACACGAGCAGGGCAGCTGGAGTCGGCTGGGAAACCGTGACTAGATAATAGATACAAGAATCTCCTCCGCCTCCCAACTTTTTTCTTTCTTCTTCCTCTTGCTTCATCATCATCCTCGCGATACCCTCATCTTTCCAACCAACAAACCACATCAGGTATGTTGTGACTGCCCCTGCATCCCTAGAAACACGGAAACACCTGTCCCTCCATCATCCCAAGCTTCCTTCCTCGACACTTCCAAATATGTCAACGTCACTTGTCAGCGGCGGCAGCAGCAGAAGCAGCAGCTACCCCGCACCTCCTTCGCTCCCTTCCTGTCCCCGTCCCATCCCATCCCCAGTCAGTCCCTCCCGCCTTGCTGCCAAGCTGCCTACAGCATCTGTGTCTGCGTCTGTTTCCCCCAAGATGTGGACGAGACTCAGATCTGTCATGGATGGTTGGTGGTAGTGGTGGCATTGGAAGGGTTGCTTGGAATCCTTCCACCCCGATCCTGCCTGCAGTCGGTCCTTCCATCTTTGGACGCTCCCTCGTCCAATTGTTCTACCACGCAAACATGGCAACGAGGGAACTGGACCGCAGAGGAAGGAAGGGCAGGCAGACAAGTCCGGCATAAAACCCAGACTCTTCCACCCAAACACTTTCTTCATCCTACCACTCATCGTCTTGCAACCTTCAACAACTTGCTTCACAACGTCTTGATACTTACCAGTCTTCAAACCAATAGTCAAAATGGTCGTCAAGGTCGGCATCAACGGTTTCGGCCGTATCGGTCGCATTGTCTTCCGCAATGCCATTGAGCACGATGACATCCAGATCGTCGCTGTCAACGACCCCTTCATTGAGCCCAAGTACGCTGTAAGTTGGCCTCGCACACATACATCCCTTGTCTCATATGACACTCAGACTCTGACCATCATCCCTCTTACAGGAGTACATGCTCCGCTACGACACTACCCACGGCGTCTTCAAGGGCACCATCGCCGTTGAGGGTTCCGACCTCGTCGTCAACGGCAAGAAGGTCAAGTTCTACACTGAGCGCGACCCCGCTGCCATCCCCTGGGGTGAGACCGGCGCCGACTACATCGTCGAGTCCACCGGTGTCTTCACCACCACCGACAAGGCCTCCGCCCACTTGAAGGGTGGTGCCAAGAAGGTCATCATCTCTGCCCCCTCTGCTGATGCCCCCATGTACGTTATGGGTGTCAACAACGAGACCTACGACGGCTCCGCCAACGTCATCTCCAACGCCTCTTGCACCACCAACTGCTTGGCTCCCCTCGCCAAGGTCATCCACGACAACTTCACCATCGTCGAGGGTCTCATGACCACCGTCCACTCCTACACCGCCACCCAGAAGACCGTCGATGGTCCTTCCGCCAAGGACTGGCGCGGTGGCCGCACTGCTGCTCAGAACATCATTCCCAGCAGCACTGGTGCCGCTAAGGCCGTCGGCAAGGTCATCCCCGACCTCAACGGCAAGCTCACTGGCATGTCCATGCGTGTCCCCACCGCCAACGTCTCCGTTGTCGATCTTACCGTCCGCCTCGAGAAGGGTGCTTCCTACGATGAGATCAAGGAGGTCGTCAAGAAGGCCGCTGAGGGTCCCATGGCTGGCATCCTTGCCTACACTGAGGATGAGGTTGTCTCTTCCGACATGAACGGCAACCCCGCCTCTTCCATCTTCGATGCCAAGGCTGGTATCTCCCTCAACAAGAACTTCGTCAAGCTCGTCTCTTGGTACGACAACGAGTGGGGCTACTCTCGCCGTGTCCTCGACCTCATCTCCTACGTCGCCAAGGTCGATGCCTCCAAGGCTTGAATCGGTTGCGTCCCGGCACGGTTATGAAGTAATGGTCTTTTCCTAGATATGAAAAAAGGGCAATGATTCCATGGGATTGAACTCGAGCATGTTGGATCTCGGGCAGTCCTGCTTATAGTAAAATAATATCCGAACTCAAATAGATACCGAGTTCACCTCCAATTCTGTTCCCAGCTGCACATTGTGATAGGATTTGTGTGTTTGCCTAGACTTCGGTATCTGAATGGCTGTGATCGTTTCAGTTAACTGTGCAATCTTGTGCCATGGGTCACAACTAGTTGCTCCCGGGCCTCCCGGCGACGGTTTACCAGCAGTGAACTGCTCTAGAGCATTGAAACAAGAGCCTTCGGTGAGGGTAAGTATCAAACGCGTATGCTGAACAGTAGACAACACCTTGCTAACCTGATGTCTTTCTTGATGGGACCTACTACCTTCAATGGATTGACCAAACTCCAGAACACCCAGTGGCCTGAGAACACGATGTCCTTGAACAGTTGGTGATTGGCAATTCCCATCAGTGGTATGACATACGACAACATGAGGCGAAGTTGAAGAAAAAAGGGGTGGGTGGTATTCACTGTCACCGTTACCGTCGTATCGACGTGAGTGTGGTCTGACAACGCCTTATCAGGCAATACGATCAACGTCTAGGTTCTATCCGTTTGCCGCCCGCTGCCGCCCGCTTGTGTCGTGGACGTCAAGGTGTCAAGGGTCTTTCCATCAGTCGTCAAAAGGGCATGATACGCTTCTAGACCGTCAGGGTATTTCGGGTATTTACCTGGACCGTCAAGGTATCTGATCGACCGTCACGGAATCTGGGACTGGAGGTGTCAGGTGGGAAACAGGAGAGTGGACTGCATGGCAGAGGCAAACTTGGGAACCTTGAGGGCCTGCCTTGACAGGGCAGCGTTATTAACACTGATGGATGACCTTGACCACCTTGACGGGCGGCCGAGGAAGTCCCGATGATCTGATGGGAACTTGCCCGTGGGCTTGAATAATATCCCGAACAGCGAAAAGCGAAGAGCGAAGAGTATATGTAAATCGAAGAGTGTAAAGTAAAGAGCGAAAAGCGTGTAGCGGACAGTGACGCTCACGAGAGCAAGGGGGCAAGGGAATGAGGGAATGAGCGAGCAAGAAAAAGTATCAATGGGCTGGATACAACGGACAATCGACAACATATGAATTTCACCACCATCGCCACCATCGACGACAACATGCTTCCCCTCCACCAAGAATACTGAGATGCTAGGAAGGAATGGTGTGGATGACGCTGAGAGTGGAAGGAACGTTGCGAATGTACATCGATTGGATTCCGCGTAGGTCTCGTTATTTTGTTGATGGCAGTCCATGTACCATGTGTATGGAAGTCTCATGAATAGAGGGAAGATCAGGGAGTTACTTACGAACAGGACGAACCGTGACGATGTTGTTGCGTTTCTGTAAACACATCATTTTCATTTTTGCCCTTCTCCTTCTAGCGCTTTAATCATCGGAGGTAACTGACAACACGCACAATCAACTAAACTTGTCACTAAGAAGAAAAGACCGTTTTGAATGTTTTATTGTTTTTCCCGCTGCGTATCTATCTATGAATGTATGATGTTGGTGAACCAGACCTCCTGAAACCATTGTCGAAACCCATCCATGCATTTGCCGTACTAGTCTAGTACCACCAAACCAAATGAACCGTCTATTTGTATGCTCCCATACCATAGATTTTCAGAATGAACCAGAAGAGCAGATCAAACCGTACAACTCAGCGACCGACCCGTACTGAGCGACAAGCCAGAGAATCATGACAAACGAACAACCCAGTCCGATACTACTAAAAAGCAGCACCCCCCAACCCCTCCCCCGCCAAATTCTTCAGACTTCTCTCACTCAAATCGCTCTTCAACTCAAACGCCTTACTCTCCCTCTCCATCTTGCTCCACATCCTCAAGCTCCTCCTCAGCTTCTCCTTCTTCGCATTCAACTCCTCCCTAATTCTCTCTTCATCCTCCATCAGCTTGCGGTGGTGCGGGTCCAGGTCCTTGGTGACGCCCGTCAACATGGCCGAGCCGGTCGACGGGTCCAGCTTGCCGACGCCGGGGATGAGCGGGGGCATGCTGGACATGAGGGATTGCGCGAGGGTGAGGGACTGCTGATGGCCACGCGGACCGTGGTGGCCATGGGAGTGGGCGTGGGCGGCTGGGCCAGTGGGTGGGTTGAAGGGCTTTGCGGAGCTGCTGAGGGAGGGAGAGGGGGAGGAGGTGGAGGCGACGCCTCCTGCGGCTGCGGAGGCGGAGGCGGATGATGTAGCAGCTGCGGACGCGCGAGGGCCGGTGGGGATGTTGTTGGCGTTGCTGGGACCGGTGGGCGGGCCGGAGGAGGGCGAGACCGATGCGGCGGGACCGTTGGTGTTGCTGTTGGCGGCAGCATTGTGACGGGAGATGCCTGACCAGCTGTTTCCTCCACGTCCTCCGCGGGGCACGAAACCGCCTCCTCGAGGGGGAGGCACGTAGCCACGGGGTCCCGAGGGTGGTACGGGCGGACTGGAGGTGTCGGGTCGGGACGGACCGCTGGGAGTCTGAGGAGGATGACGAGTTGCAGGGCTTGCTGATGGCGCTGCAGGCGGTGCCAGGTTCCTGGTTGCCGCAGGACCGGTGGGTGGTGCTCTCAAAGCCGCTGGGCCTCTAGGGGGCGACTTAACGGGAGTGGGAGTGGGAGCTGGTTCTGGTGCCGGTTGCCGTTGCTCTTGCTTGGGTGTCTCACGCACAGGAATAGGAGTAGGCGCGGCCGGTTGTGGAGGGGATCGCGGTGCAGGTGTAGGTGCCTCTGTCTGTGCCTGTACCGACGCCGGTGCCGGTGCCGGTGCCGGTGCCGGTGATTGAGGTCTTGATCGGTCAGCTCTTCTTTGGCGAGAGCCCGGACGCGGCGAAGATTTGCCTGACGCAGAGCGAGACGCAATGGCAGATGAGTTAACTGAATCTCTGGGCGGCGGGGGTGAAGCCGGGCGTCGATAGGCAGGGCCTGGATAACGATCGTCCTGGTCACGGACACGGCGTTCGGGAGATCGGAACCGAGGACGATAAGATCCTCCTCGCGGTCCAACAGGTGGTGTCCTTCTCAGTGGTGAGCGATTCCGGCGAAGTCTGTCTCTGTTGTCAAATGGTGACCTGGATCTTCTCCGTATTTCGAAATCCCGCCGAGGAGGTGATCGAGCCCTCTCAGGTCGCTCATCGCGACGGGGAGAGGCAAATCTGGGCGGAGGGCTTCTCCTAGGAGGGGGACTCCGTCTTGGTGGTGAAGGGCTGCGAGGAGGAGGGCTGCGAGGGCGGCTCCTGCTACGATCTTGTCTTCTCCAAGTGTTCTCCGGTTCCCTGGACCTATCTCGCGGGCGCCTGTACCGGTCACCCATTCCGCCTGGGCGATCTCCCATGCGATCTCCCATGCGATCTCCCAAACGGTCTGGCATACGGTCTCCCATACGATCGCTGACACGGTCCCCCATGCGGTCACGAATGCGGTCTCCTAGACGGTCTCCTAGACGGTCTCCGAGACGATCTCCCAGCCGGTCCCCAACGCGATCAGCCAGGCGATCGCCTACACGATCTCCGATACGATCGACCAAACGGTCTCCCACACGATCTCCTCCACGTTCTCCTATACGATCACCCAGCCGGTCACCACTACGCGAACGGCGGCGTGGGGATCTACTTGGAACATAACTGTCGCTGGCGCCGGGCGGAGTACGACCTCGGTCTCTCAGGGGACTGCGAGTGGCCCGAGGCGACCGATCTCTGTTGTACGGTCGGTAGGATTCGCCCGCTCCATACCTCCGAACTTCCCCATCTTCGTATCTATACGAGCATCTGTTAGAACGCACTCCCTGGCTATAGGTTGAGCTCCAAAATGCAGTCATGGTGTGGGCCCGCTAGGCCAGTACGAGCTTGAGAATAGGAGAAAAAGAAAAAAAAAGAAAAGAAACCCGAGCCATAATCAAACCCCGGCAGCATGGATCCACAAAAGCGAAAGACAGTGATGTTCCAAGACTGTCAAGCAGACTCGCCTTCTTGGGGTTCGGAGGTAGACTGCTCCGTATGGAATGATTTATAACAAATGAAAACCTTGGAAGTGAAAACCTAAGAGGACTTTGAACCGGAAAGTACGGGATTCAAAAAGTTATGGGGCGAGGGCCGCGAGAGCGAGGCCGCCGCCTGGGGGTCTCGAGTCCCCTAGTAGGGAGAAGTTGTCCTTCCATCAAAGTAAAGCGGCCATGTCGCAATTCTTTGACCTTGTCGACATATGTTTTGGGACCCGGAAAAGTTGCCCGTCCGTCGGCGTCAACGGTACATGGCAGGATAACCGGGCGGTAGTGTTTCCGCTTTTTTCGCGAGTCTGACCTCGCCGCCTTAAGAGTTGGAGACCTCGACCGTTTTCTGCCCCTGGTGTCCATTGTAGCGGCAGCCTGGGCAGTGTCAATGTCCATGACATCAAAACCCACAGCCTGGGCAGCCTGGGCAGTCGGTTGGTTCAAGGGCTGAGGGTTGTCCTGGGAAACTCCTTCGGGCGGACTGGCTTGCTGTTGCTGCTGCTGCTGCTCGACGTTGGACATGCCTTGCTGTGAGGAGGACCCATTCCCCCCCAGCATCTCGACCCAGTACTGCCTCTCCTCCAAGGTCATGTTCTGGATCCATCCAAGCGAATCTGGATTATGGCCCAGTGAGACAAAAATCTCTGTTAAGCGGGCTTGTTCTGACATCGTAGAATACGTGAGTCAAGTTGATGACGGTAACGGTAACGGTACGAGCGGGAGATGAAATATCGAGATCGATAGCGGTTGTTCAGGACGGTCCGAGAAAGTTTGCGAAGCCGGATCTTCCCAGGTTTTGATAATGGTCGAGATGGCGGATGTGTTGTTTGTAAAGGTGAAAGTCGTGGGATTGATGAACTCGTCGGTTGTCGGGGCTTTGAGCCGGGTCCGAGAGAGCTTTTGAAGGCAGACAAGTGGCCAAAGTGGCCATATTTTTCGGCGTTTAGGACTTAAACAACCCTACAGGCATGAGTGAGGCGCTTGGGGCTGTTGAGCGACGAGCATGTCGAAAAGCGGGTTGGCGTTGTAGAGTCCGGTCCGCATGCATAGATGCGACTCGATTCCCTCCAGCAGAATATTCGAAGTCCGTCCTGACGCCGTCCTCGGTGTCCCGACATTGCTGATACAATGCAGCGGACACACGTTCCTTCGCCAATGTTGCTTTGCTGCTCAGTGTTGATATGGGCAATGAAACTCCGATGGTCGACTCCCCGTTCGTTTGTCCGATCCCCCAGCGTCGCCCTCCAACGCGCAGCAGCAATACCGTATTGCGTATCTTTCCACATCCTCCCCTCGCCCCTCCTCCGTGTACCGCATGAGTCCCATGAAATCATCACTTCCACCCCTCGATTCGATGAGTCCATGCTGCAGGTCGTTCCCCGTTGGTTCCCATTCCATTCAAGTCTCAATCGGCATTGTCAAAGGGCGTTTTATTTTTTCTTTGAATTTCTCACTTGAGAGAAAAGATATGAGTAAAAACAAAAGCTCGCACCGGCGTCCCCCACCATCACTAAACAAACACCAACATTAACACATTGACAACCAAGAAAAACTTACCTTCTACTTCTCTCCATCGCCACAGCATCGGGCGGTGGTCCCCCCAATAAAGGCGTATGGTTATGGTTTCTAGCAGAATTATGCCGTGCTGCAGGCCCGCGGTGGTGGTGATGCTTGAAGGGGTAATCTGGTCGCATAAGGGGTGGTTGTTGACCTTAACGCGAAGATCGGCGACGATAATGGGGCAGCTGAAGATGAGCAAATTAGGCGGTTGTTGGTGAAATGTCGTCACTCTGTTTGGTATGCAAGTTAGAGATGTTGTTGTTCGGGGAAAGTGGAAATGTGAGGTTGAGGCTGCAAGGCGAAAACGAAAGGAACGAATCGTATGACCGCGATTCGTGGTGCACTGTGAACCGTCCACTGTCGTCCGCTGCAAAGGAGTGCCTGCTTAAAGTTTTGCCTGCCGGGAACTCAGACCGACTTGCTTAGCGCGGACACGCAGTCACGTGGATGGGTGTCCGCAGCGACTGCTGGATTGCAAAGGGGCCCCAACAAACCTCCAACCGTTGGCGGCGTGGCTTGGCCCAAATCCGCCACGGACACGAAGGAGGCCAAAGCGCATTTCAGACGCGGCCTGGCCGAACACACGCGTCGCTACCAAGCACTGGCGGGTGGCAATTCTCAGGGTTAGGGCTCAATGTAAAGGGTAAACTTTACCAATGAACCAAAGTCTTCTTTGAATGATATGTACCACGTTGCTACGTACTCTAATACGATCTATGTCCAATGCGATAAGGCCCAAATTTGTCTTGAGCGGAGGGTCTTACCTTCCCTAACCAGACTCGGTTTCATAGAACGAAGAGCAGGCCATAAATTCACCAACCCTCGAACACCAGATGATCGACCTTAGCACCCAAGTATCCTGATAGCAAGGCTCTAGGTAGATCGAAATATCAAGTATTGTAGCCTAAGCTATCACCGCAACAGCTTGCATTCGCTATCAGCAAAACTGCAGCTTGACCAGCTTTCAAGGCTTTGTCTATCCCTCACGTATCCTCAACCATCTCATCCCCCAATTTCTCCTCCTCCGGCACCATCCTATCAACCATCCAATCCTGAACGTCCTTGAAGTGCTCGTTCATCATGCGACCCAATCCGCTCACGTTGCTGCGAATGACCGAACCGAATCGGCGCTTCATAACCTTCCGACTCAAGTCGGCATCTGCCCAGCATGCATGGTCCGCCGACACGTAGACCCGGGAGTGATCCTTGTACCACGATGAAAGATCGGTGTCGACATCCGATTTGACGGGACGGAGGTTACCGTTGACAAAGTTGACGACTCCCGAGATTCGCGATTTCACGTCTGTAGGGTTTGAAGAACCAGATGTCAGTAATCATAGCCTCAAGGGATATGGGAGTGATGTACATACCTCTGTTGATGAGCAGGAGCTTGACCCCGAGGTAAGCATTGCCGACACCCATGAGGAAAATGTCATCCACATTGTCGTAGAGTTGGAGGTAGTTATCCCAGATGTAGCACATGAGCTCCTGGATCTGCGCTTGTTGCGTCCGCTCGTCCACCTTGGGGGCAAATGACTCCGTATCCTACATGTTGAGGTTAGCACCATCTTTTTCTACGTCTTGTCGGGGCATCGTTTTCTCTACCTCTGGGTGTGTGATGTATTGAGGGATATTGATATCGAAAACACCAATCTTCCTGTTGATAGCCCACTGGATGTACTGCGGGATACTATCCGTCTGTATTCTGTGTTAGCTTGTACTGGCGCAACGACCGGAAGATGCAAAGCTTACAATCCAGGAGTCGTGCGGCTGGAGACTATTGTCAAGGGGGTCTGGCTGGGCGTGCAATTCTGGTCTATGGCAACACACAATTAGCTCGGTCCAACACGGAGAACCCGGTTGTAACTTACGGATCATGGATGACTACAAGAAGCTTGCGAGCTTCACTTGCGTTCCTCGTAACCAGCACCTGATTCTCAAAGGACTTGAAGAGCACATCGCGCTGGATATACAGCGGGAACATGCCAAACTTCTCCGAAAGGTTGAAGCGCTGAGCTGAGCGGACAACATCATGTAACCTTTGGCCACCTTGGCTCTGCATCTCCTGAACATCTACGATGCCTGGTCGCATGCATTCCCAGTACGGTGCTTGGTACGCCTGCACCTTAGCCAGGACCCGGGCAGCCTCCTTGTTGATCTTGGGAACATCCATCTTCGGGGGCGGTTCACCCATGAGCGTACGGGCTACGGCCAAGGCTGACTTGGAGATGGCCTCAAGGTTATAGCCGCCTTCTAGACAGACCGCCACCTTTCCGTTGGCCAAGGACATGAGCATATGTGTCATGTGAGCGTAGCAAGCTGGCGATACAAAGCAAGCACCCAGCTCATCGCCGTCCGCAGCGTCGAACCCGGCGGAGATGATGACGAGGTCGGGATCGAACTCATGGGCAATCGGCATGACAATTTTCTGGAAAGCTGCCATGTACTCGCCGTCACCCATCCCTTGGTCATGCCAGCCAATGTTGACGTTCTTTCCCAAGCCCGCCCCTGCTCCGCAGTTCTCGATACTGCCATCTGGCGTCATCGGGTTATCGGGTTTTCCGGGGTAGAACGAGCCGTTCATGTAAACGTGTAGCGAGATGTAAAGAATATTCGGGTCGTCGTAGAACATGTTCTGGATGCCATTGCCATGGTGAACATCCCAATCCAAGATCAGTACCTTGCGGCAAATCTCGGGGAATTCGGTCTGGCAGATCTTGGCTGCTATTGGGACGTTGTTGAAGAGACAGAAGCCCATAGGAGCGTCGAACTCTGCATGGTGGCCCGGCGGACGGATAACCGCAAAAGCATTCTTGACATTACCGACAACCACGCTCTTGCAGGTCTCAATAGCACCTCCAGCCGAGATCAAGGCTGCCTCGAACGTCATACTCCCGACGTAAAGGGAGTCTCTACCTTGATCCATGACTGTAGAGAGACGCCGGAGCTCTGATGTCGGCTTTCGTGACAGATCTTCCACCCATCGGAAATGCTCAGGGTGGTGGACGATGCAGATCTCCTCCTTGGTCGCGTGTCGGGCCGGGATGCGCCACATGTACCTCCTCGGGTCGGTGCGGATGACCTTCTTGAGGTCCTCATCATTGCCAGTAAACACGAGACCTTCCCTCTTGAAGATCCTCATGATATGCTCGATACGAGACGGGTCTTCAGGGTGGTGGGGGTTCGGGCCAAAGTCGGCGTTGGCGTGAAGCTTCATACGATCGTCGTAACAGCATCCTGTCGGAAGGAGACCTCGTCGCTTTAGGCGAGCCGGATAGACAAACGGGTCTTTCTCGTCGGATAGCTTTTCGTCCTCCTCTTCTTTGACTGTGCCGGTCTGGTCATGACCATTCGGTTCTGTTTTGGTGAAGCCATTACTTGTTGGCGGAACGCCA